CTTTGCACAAATTGGCTTGCCCTTACAAGACTGAAATTGGACTGGTTTGCTGTCCATGGAAAGGGCAGCACCAAATGCTTGTTCTGTCAAAAACAACAACAACAAAAAATTTCCTTTCAATTTCTAAGCCTAATTCCACTTCTCATTTTATGGGAATAGAGCTCAAATTTTGCCATGTTAAGATGTGTGGATTTCAACACCCAGAATCTTTTAGCCAGCATATTTCCTGTGGAATTCTGGAAATCAAAAGTGCAGATTTAGATGTAACACATCTAAAAGAGCCATGGTGGCGAAGTGGTTAGAATGCAGTACTGCAGGCTAACTCACTGTTCACTCCAGGAGTTCCATTCTGAGCAGTTCAAGGTTGACTCAGCCTTCCATCCTTCTGAGGTCGGTAAAATGAGGACCCAGATTGTTGAGAGCAATATGCTAACTCTGTAAACCCCTTAGAGAGGGCTGTAAAGCACTGTAAAGCGGTATATAAGTCTAAGTGCTATTGCTTAATGTGCTAAAGGTTGAGAAATTCTGGTATAGAGATTTGATGAGACCTCTCCTGTCAGCACACTCTTCCCTAAAACCAACATTCCTGTGCCTGAGACAAACTATTTGTTTGGCAATTTCTGACTTTGGGCATCATTTTGATAGGATTGTTGACTAATAATTGATTCTTTAGCACTATATGTTAGAACTGGGCAAACAATAACCTTGATGGTACGTACACTTGTTGTCCATATGATATATTTGCCCTTTAATATTTGGCTTGAGACATAATTGTCTGACCTTGGTCTTAAGCCTAAACTATTTCACAGGAATGTTTTGCAGATAAATTGGTGGTTGGGAAAGAAGCATATTCATTGTCCTGAACGTCTCAGAAAAATAATGATGTAGTATCCATAATGCAAAGACAGATATAAAAATGCCCATCTCGAAGGATGATACAACGAGAGAGGAAATTTTGTCTCATGACTGTCCTACACAAAACTCTACCAGCACAGATTGGGGACCTGCTATCTAGTTTAAAATGTATATTAACTTTTGTTAGAAATCTTGTAAGAGCTAAATATAAACTGCCTTTCTATTCTGCTTTCTGTTCTGCCAGAACAGAATTTGGTCCAGCAACAGGAGTGAAACAACCTATTTAATTCTGTTCGGATTGTATCAGAAGCCCTGATTATTTCTTTAATGTGGCAATATTCAGTTCCTGCATTTTTCTGTTTTCTTTTGCTGAAAAGTTTAATATAATAACAGACAAAAATGTAACATGCACAATAATATATTCCTCTAAAACCACACCACAGTGTGAAAATAAACATGTTTGTTTTATACCAACAGCCGGTTTCAAAATGCTGCAGTACAAGATGAAAACATATACAGGTAACTGGAAAGCATTGAATGGTATGAAGCCTAAGCTAGAAAATGTGAGAAAAATGTAGTCAAATGATTGACACGCTGATGATAAACAAACATTAGTAATCTGACATTTAAGTTTGCCACCCTCAAGCAGTAATAGGAATGGTCTCTCTGACACTGTAATTCTCAGAGGTATTTTCTGATGACATTTGGCTCTTTTGCCCAATAGAAGGAGTTGCTTTTTGTTGATATTTCTTTAACTACAGTCTGCTACAGGATGTGTCCTTCAAATTCTAGGAAATAAATGTTGCCTTTGATCTGTGACAAGTAGCATTTGGTGCTAAACAAGTCATGGGTGATCCAGTTTGTGTCGATGATTGATGGCAGTTTGAGGACATTTCAGTTGTTTTTCCAGATTGGAAGATTTTCACAGTATTTTTTATATTTTTCTCAGCTTTGTATATTGAGACAGAGCAAGAGAAATAGAGAGCGATCATTTCCCCAATCTTCATTTTGCAGTAAACCAGTTTCTACTGCATAAACATCCTGCATAAAGGTAGAATCTAAAGCAAGGTTTTTCTTGCTGATGTAGTGGAATGAAGAGAGGATAATTTATGTTCTGCAGTCACATGGGCTGCTTGTTATTCCCCTTATATATTTTCAATGAAACCCTATGGGAAATAAAAAAATCAGAACATTTAAAACAGAAACTTGGATGATTTTCCTGAAATAGAAGTATATTTCTCAGAATATAAGGTGGGAAATGAATATCATAGTAGAATTAGCATTTGTGATGGTAATGATGATACGTGTTCACAAATAAAAAAAATATAGACTGGAGAAGAAATAATGTGACAGATTATTTTTCCACAAGAGGGCAGGCTCTAAAAAGCAAAAGAGATATTTAACATTAATATTATCTGATCACTCCATTTGATTTGTGTGCATTTCATGCCATCTAATAAGTAAACGTATGAAGGGGGAATCCTGTTCATCTCAGTCTCAACCATTTTAGAAGTGGCACATAAAACCTGAATAACAGATAACATCTTTAGAAATGCTTTGCAATAACAGAGTACATTTGGAGATATGACAGCAGGGGTACTTTAAGTATACTTAGTCACTGCTTTATATTCTCAGCGAATTGAAGCTGATCTGCATGCACATGTCAGTGGATACCCCCAGGAATGGCATTTAAAAAGCTGCTTTAACAAGTTGAAAAAAGGGAGCTTTGTATGTACTTTTCATGATTCCTTGAAATGGAAACACCCTGAAATAAATAAGATTCATTGTTACTTCACTAGAAAGGATTGAACAGCCTGCAATGCATGAGAATTTTCCCTGTTAGCTGCAACATTAGAACTCATTTCATCCATGATAATTGGTAGGAAAGAAATTGAAGAGTAATATTGTGATGACATTATGTGATAAATGTTAAGTGTAATGATGTTATGGGAAAAGAAGAACACAAGATGAGCTTGCAGGTAGTCCTGCACCACGCTCAGCATTTTAGTAGTGGAACAAAGCTAGAGAAAAATACATTTTTTAAAGGGGTGGGGTAGGTAGGAGATTAACGCAAAGTCATTATGACATGGTATCTCTGGATCTGTATATAATTACCTTGGAAATCAGAGCGCCCTTTGATTCGTGAAAAGACAATAGTTCAAATTATGCACAGACACTTGTACATATTCACAATTCAGTGATGAATATGCCCAGTGATGACAATTATGTGCTTATTGGATAAAAAATACAGCAGGGAGGTTATATAATAAAATCACAGCACTCCCTTTCCTGTAAGTATCTGTTATGACATGACGCAAGTTATTCATGCCGCTAACTCACATGAAACTCAGCTATGCATAAACATTAAATGATGCATGCCTGCGAAGGGTGTAGTCTCTTTGAAAAGATTTTAAAAATGATAAGCTGTCACAGACAACTAAGCAGGAACAAACTGATTGATATGGCATTCCATCCACAATCACGCAATTATGCACAGGATTTTTTAATTGTGTGTTGTGGGGAGGTAAACTCAGAGGCAAGCTTGTAGTTTTACCCTTCTTAAGTTTATGTACACTTTCTGGCAGCCAGATTGATAATTGCATATAAATTATGATAAATAATTACTGAATAATGTTATGAAAACTATAAGAATATATTTTTGCCTCTTAATAGATCTGTTTCCAGGATTCTTGGCCAGTACAGCTGCTAACAGAAGGCTGTCCTCTTCTTCCTATAACAAAGACAGTCAAGGTGGGATGATCTTGAGTTTCTTGTTTTCACAGGCTAACTTCATATTTTACTTATGGTTGCCATATATCTATTTGTACCAGTTTAATACAGTTGTCTTAAACTACATTGCCCATCAATTCATCTCTCAGGGCACTAGCAGTTTCTTAACTGAAAATTTCTCAAAGCTTACGGATTGTTGCTCTGAGAGAGACGTCCCCTAGCCAGCATGGAATTCTGAAAGTTGAAGTCCACACATCTTAAAGTTGCTAAGATTGAGAAACAATGTCTCAAGGTGCTGGACTAGGAATGTGGAGGTCTAGATGCTAAACCTCTATTAGGCATGGAATCCAGCTGGGGGACTTTGGCCAGTCATGTCTTCTGAGTCCTAATAGGTTTGCACTCAGCAGAACAACAAAACTTCTCATCCCTCACAAGCTGATAAAAAAAAAAAAAACAACCTCTGCTAAGCAGGACAAACGCATAGAAGAGCATCTATTGTTGTTCTGATGGGTTCTCTTGTCTCTCAACTAGCTTGATCACCCCAAAAATAATGACTGGAAGAGCAGCCAGAAAGTTTCAAACAGATAAATGTGGTTAATTCATTTGACATCATGACTTCTCTAACATTTATTTATAAGATTTGCTGCCCATCTCCTTTCAAAGCGATTCTTTCAAATGTAGCCAAAGAAATCATGACTGATAAAGGGGGGGGGGGGGAGAAAGAGGTGAATAATTGCAAGGCATGCAAAGAAAGACACCAGATTAGCTTTCAGTGCTTGCCTTTTTGCTGGAGAAGGAGAATATTGAAATATTTGTTTGTTTTCTGTAAGCTATTTCTGCCACCTCTCACCACAGAGACTTTAGGCGGGGCCCGCGCATACACACACACAAAAACAGCGTCATTTATAAAATAGTACTCCAAAGAGAGTAAATCTTAATATTATAATGTTAGTAGTGCCTCGCTTGTCATACAAGACCGTCGCTACTGCTTTCCCGACACCGTTTAGGGCCAAAGCGGTGAGGAAGGGAAGGCAAGGGAGAGGTAGAAGGCGCGTCCCTCGGCCTCCAGAGCCCCCAGTTCCTTGGCTCTTGAAACAAGGGCTCGGCTTCAGGAATCTGGATTTAAACAATACCGCTGAGCGAGTGCGGGGCATTGAATTCCTTAACTGCTTTCTGATTCTGCCTGGCGTGGCCTTCGCTTCTGGGACAGCAGAGAACAGGCTACTCCCAAACAGGAAAGGCCTTTTTTTTCCCCCTCTGAAGTCTCAATTGCTTCTTGACTTTCCCGCGAGTGCGGCGGGAACCCAGCAACTCCCAGCCGCTCGCTTCCCTTTGCGGGAACAATCCAGCTCTGCCTCGCCAGCTGACGCCTTTTCCCAGTCACAATGACCCAGATCTGGACCGGGCGGCGCAGCGCGGCGCCATCCGCAGCTGCAGTCAAGAAGTGGCACTGGACAGTTCAGGTCATCATGTGTCCGGCAGCAACGCCCACCTATTCCCTCCTCTCTGCCGGCCGCATTTTTCCAGGAGCTTAGGAAAGACTGGAAGAGGAGGAGGAGGAGGGGCGCGGTGCTCACGTGGAGAAGAATTGCAGCGTGACGACGCCAAAGGAGAACCCGAAGGGAGGGATTCCCTCGAAGGTAAGAGCCGGCTGGGCTTCGGAGGATGGGGCGGAGCACGAGGAAGGGAACCCCCCCATTTCATCATAATCCCATTTGTTCGGGATCCAAGGAATCCAGGCTGTCTGACTCGTGGATGTGCTGCAAAATTCCAAGCACTGCAGATTTTGGCAATGTGACTTGGAGAACAGCTTCCTTTGTCCACCCGTCTGGATTGAAAAATAAAACAATGGACTGATATTCAAAATGAGAAGCCGTAAACCTAGTTTACAGGGCAGCTGGGTCAAAACCTATCCATCCCATCCAGTTATCCAGTTAAAAATTATTTTTCCTACTGTCCTCCACATGCTGAGACCAGGGGCACCATATTGTGGAAAGCTAACTAGCACAAAAGTGTAATAGCAGAGTACTAGGACCAGGGTTACTTCATGCTAAAGGATCCTGTTAACAGAAAACAGATGGCCCTTAATTTACAACAGTTCGTTTAGTGAACATCCAAAGTTACAAGGCCCCTGAAAAAAGTGGCATGACTGTTTTTCACACTTATCACCATTGCAGCATCTCTATGGTCATGTGATCAAAATCCAGATGCTTGGCAACTGACTCATATTTATGACGGTTACAGTATCCTATGGTCATGTGAGCACCTTTTGCGAACTTCTGACAAACAAAGTCAATTCACTTAACAACTGTGTTAAAAATTTGAGAGCAACATCTCTTCAGTGTTCCTCTGGGAAGCAAAGCAGATCCCATCTTCATTGCTCAGTAGCAGTGGCTTTGGACCAGTATGTTGACCAATTGAGACAGAGTAGTGTGACCTTGGCTCTGAAAACATCTTCACTAGGTCAAAGAACTGCTCAACAGCTCATCAAAGAAAACTGTTTTGTCAAACTGAAGTGACAAGTTCTCTTAGGACATACTCTGTAGGTTTTTTTTTTATTTCCCACCAATTTCAAAGTGTTGTAGTCAGTACTCATTTGGAGTAGATTCTATAGGCTATGAAAAGGGATTGGGGACTTCTTGAGTCCACAGATTGATTTCACTTGCAAATGTATCATGTACTGCAGCGGCCCCCATTTTTGGGCACCAGGGACTGGTTCTGGGGAGAGAAGTTTTTCTTTGGACCGGAGGTGTGGGGGAGCATGGTTTCGCATGCTGCCTGCATCCCGCAGATGGGGCTTTGCTTGTTTGTGTGGCCTGGTTTCTTCCAGGGGTTTCTGACCGGGGGTTGGGGACCCCTGATGTACGGTATTACAGTATAATGTGCTATAGATCCGTGTATAGTGGTCTTATCAGAGGTGGGTTTCAGCAGGTTCTGACCGGTTCTGGAGAACCGGTAGTGAAAATTCTGACTGCCCCACCCCCATGTATTCTCTGCCTCCCAAGTCCCAGCTGACCAGGAGGAAATTTTGCAGTAACCTTCCCCTGGAGTGGGGAGGGAATGGAGATTTTACAGTATCCTTCCCCTGGAGTGGGGTGGGAATGGAGATTTTACAGTATCCTTCCCCTGCCATGCCCACCAAGCCATGTCACGCCCACCAAGCCACACCCACAGAACTGGTAGTAAAAAATTTTGAAACCCACCACTGGGTCTTATAGTGTAGTGTACACAAGTGCTTCTCAATTTCAGCAACTTAATGATGTGTAGACTTCAACTCTCAGAACTGGGAAGATTCTGGAAGTTGAAGTCCACACATCTTGAAGTTGCTAAGATTGCATTTAGACTGTTATGCTATTAAAACTGAGCTGCTTCTTTAAAAAGAACATCTATGTTCCTTAAAACTTTTATTTAACAACAACAACAATCTTTTCCTGTGAAGGGTGGCTGATGAAAGGTGTCTTTTCTCTAAACAGAAAACACCCAAATAAAACCAGGTTATCTTGCTCAATTGGCTTGGCTGCCTAGGGTTTTACTGCTGTGTTAGGTAATTACCCTTGTTAGAGGATTAATGGCTTTATAACTTAGTGGACAGAACTAGATTTAGAGAGCTGAATTAGTGGAGCCTAACAAGCTCAGAGCGTCATGGAAAGTAGAAAACCATTAATAAGGTTTTAAAATAACGTCAAGGGCACATCCATGTTTAGAATGCACAAATAAACAGTTTCATTAACTACTGAATAAATCATTTTTCATTCAACAGTCTCTAGGAATGTAATCATCACAAGAGAGACAGGTTGGAGAATAAAATATTTTATTTGGAATTAACCAAATATATAACAATAAAAAAATAGCAATCATACCAAGATGTTAAAAGACTGGCTGAAACAAAGGCAGAACTAGCAAGACTCATTTCTGGTTTGAAGAAAGCTGCTTTGCAGTCTTGTTCCAATCTTTATATTAGTTTTCATAAAATGAATAACTGATTGTAAGTTATTTTTATTGCCTTAAAAAAAAATCCACTTAGAGTAGGGATCCCCAACCCACTACTGGGCCTTGAGCCCTTCACAACTGGGCTCTGGAACTGGAGGCCAAGTGGGCACGCATCCGCATTCGCATGAGCGACAGACATGCGTGCACACAGCTCCATTTGTGCAAGTGGTGGGTACACTTGTCTGCTACTCGTACAAGTGGGGATGCACGCATATGCACACTTGTCTGCTGCTCAAGCGCAACCATCCCTTCTCTCTCCCCCCCGCCCCCAGCCTGTCTACAAAGCTGGAAAGCTTGGGGAACTCTAACTTAGACCACCTACAATCACCTAACTAAAGTTTTTGACATTTTCCCATTTTTTTAAAAAAAATATATATTTCCCTTTAAACTGCCCTTCAATCATCACATTTAAAAAAAAATAAATCTAAAACTCAAACAATCTGACTATGCATCCCCCTTCCTGCAGTCCGAGGCAGATAATAACTATCTGCTCATTTCTCCTTGTCTAGCCCATCAGAAGAAAATAAAGAAGTAGAGATGCAGAGAGTTTGCATAAGCACATAAATTTTGGCGCTTTTCCCCTTTGCACCTGCCCTGACATAAACTACTCCTGGCACCATCTTTTTTTCTGCCGAATCCCTATGACATTGTCTTCTTCTGAGCTCCATGAATGAGGTCTCCTTAGATTATTTGTAATTGAACCAGTGTCAAAATATTTTGTCTCCCCTTTATTCCAATAATGTGCAAAGAATATGTAAAATCGATGGTGGTGGTGGAGGATATCAGGACATTGTCAGTGAGTGGGAGCAAAGGCAATATATGCAGGCTAAGGAATTGACAATAGGGGCAGCAAATTTCAAGTCAGTATGGTTTTCTGCCATAGGGGACAAGAGTTTTCTCAGCATTGGAAAAAGCACATAGAGAGTGTTGAGAAAGGCTGGAAGTAATTGTTCAGTATGCTCCTCATCCTTGCTTTATATTTTTGTATTTTAAGTCATAACAATAAATGTATAAATTGTAGATATTACTGCTACAGAGGGGCAGAAGTACACACGTGGCCCAGCACTAAACCACAGGCTGAACTTGACTTGCTCCAGTGCTGCATATACTGAGATGGTCCAGAAAGACATGGTGGTAACAGGGCCTCTGAGATCCCCAAAGCACAGCAGTGCTTTAAAGCAATGTTTCTCAGTTGAAGGAATGTGTATATGGTATGTCTATACAGGATACAGAAAAACTCAAATAGGGTGCAATATTTTCATAAAAATACTAGGAATTCTCTTTTCCTCTGTCATCTTGCAAATTTGATGTACTGATCAGCCCAACTTCTGTTTGACAAATATCAGGACCTGCAAGCTGAAATGGTTTGAAGTCAGATGGGCTTAAAGAGAGAAGAGTTGCTGAATGACCCATAGGTTCCTCCATGAAAAAGTCTTTGTCCAGACTGCCTCCTTGATTTTTTTTTAGTTGCTTCAGTTTTTTATTTCCTCAGCAAATAGCCCCTTCTTTTCATGTCCCATCTTGTGAGGTCTTTCCCCTGCATTTTTCTCCCTGCAGCTTTAATTTTTTTACTATTATTTCTTATCATACTTCTCACAAGTTAGCTAAGGCTTCTTGAAGCAGAGAGAAGACTGACAGCTCATCCATGAAAACTGCTGAAAAAAAGACCACCTTTCCTTGAAAGAACCTTGATTTTTCTCTGGGCCTCCTAAGAGTTTTGGTGTTTGGAAAGTAGCTTCAAATTGCAAGGGAGCCAACAGAGAGCAGAAAGAAATAATGGGTGATCAGGACAAGCTGCTCCGCTTTCTGAAAATTCATACAAAGGGTGTCTGCAGGGTATGGTCAAAAAAAAGTCAAAATGCAGCTTTGACAGTGTGATTGCAGCTCTGCACAGTTTCCTGAGCATTATATGTACAACAGATCAGTGGTGGGTTTAAATCTTTTTTACTACCGGTTCTGTGGGCATGGCTTGGTGGGCGTGGCATGGCTTGGTGGGCGTGGCTTGGTGGACATCGCAGGGGAAGGATACTGTAAAATCTCCATTCCCACCCCACTCCGGCGAAAGGATACTGCAAAATCCCCATTTCCTCCCAATCAGCTGGGACTTGGGAGGCAGAGAATAGATGAGGGTGGGGCCAGTCAAAATTTCCGCTACCGGTTCTCCAGAACTGGTAAGAACCTGCTGAAACCCACCTCTGCAACAGATATAAAAACAAAGAGATTCAGTCATGCATCACGGCTTCCATCTTGACTTTTTTTGACCATATCCTCTGAACACATTGATTCCTACTTTCAATCTTTTACTTTCTGCCTGGAACTGCTGAGCTGCCAGGCATCTTTTCACCCAAAATCTAGTGGAAAGCTTGGGGGATAGATTGTTTATTATTGTGGTGAGAAGGGTTTGATTCACTGTTGTTGTTGTTTTTCCAGTAGGAGAGCACGACTGCATGGCCTCTTCTGCAACGGAAAACATTTTCAAAATTAATTGGAAAGGTAGGAGAGGAGGAAGTTACTTTAATTTTTTTTAAAAAAAAATCATAGTTCTTGTTAGACAGAGAGATGTCTGTACAAAAAGGCCAAAAATGGCCTTTTTGTTTCTGTCATAGCAGAATTCAAACTACTGGATAATGTCTTTATGGATGGAAATCCCATCTTTCTTTTACATCTCAAAGTGGGTTTTCCCACCTGCCATTTCTTTTTCTTCCTAACCGTGGTTACTTTTAATCAGTTTGTTTCAGATTTAAAATTGCCCCTCTATTAGGAGAGAAATGGGTTTTAAAAATCTTTGTGGAAAGAGTTTGGTGGTGGGTGGCTTGTTATCAATAACATCCCCCTTGCTATGGATTCAGGCTAACACAAATATTCATAGGATTCTGCTGCACAATTATAATGTGGTCCTGTGTTTGGGGACAATCAACTGGCCAAATACTACTCCTCTTGCTTGTTGTATAAAAGGGAGAGTAAATCTGTCCTCCCCTCCCCTTGGCTTTTCTCTTTACAGACCAAGTTATCCATGAAGACAAGGTCTTAAGTCAAGCCTTGCAGGATGGCACAGGAGAAGAAAGGGGCTGCAGCTTTGCTCAAGTCAACAGATCCTGCATGCAAACCCCAAAAGAAATTTCCTGTAGCTCTGGGCTACAAGATGGAGCAAGCTTTAATTTCTGAATATGTCCCTAGGGTCATACATTCAGGAGGATTTAAACCTGAGTATCTTAGCTTTGCCTTCTATAACCCTAATTACGCCAATTCCTACAATCCATTTTACACTTTACAAAAACCAACCTGTGGCTATCGGTATTGTCGAGACACTGACCACCGAAGGAAAGTCATGGATATTGAGAGAGTAAATATTCCAAAATGGAGAACTATTGTGCAGAAAAAGCCAGGTGTGGCTTCAGAAGGCTCAAAAGTCTGAAACAGCCATGTGTTTCTCCTGAGACTTCCCTAACAGCATTCTGATTCAAAATCTGAACTCTGTCATCCTCCAAGCATGTCTAAAAGGAGATGCTGTGGGAGCTTCAAATAAAAAAACAGAGTTCTGCCTTAAAGCAAGAGCTTCTGGAACCAACCATGATGGAATAAATCAAGTCCTACAAGAAAGATATCAAAGCCGCCTTGCTTTGGCTTTGAAACATCTACAGCTGTAGATCTCCCACCAGCCAGAAAAGCACCAAAATGAAGCTCAAATGAGCAGATACTTTTCTCTCTGTTGCTTTGTTTACTACATATATTTATTATTCCCAGAGAATTAGGGAGAACTAAAGCCAAAGCAATTTCAGATTTGTTTTGTCCAGCCAAGCATACCATGTTTTCCCGAAAATAAGACCTTGTCTTATATTTTTTTGAACCCCAAAATAAGCACTTGGCCTTATTTTCAGGAATGTCTTATTATTTTGGGGCACATGGAGCAAGATGGGGCTCCTCCTGCCTTCCTACCTGATTTCCAGCTCTGTGTTTAAATATTTTCGGGGAGGGCTTATTTTCAGGGAAACAGGGTAGTTCCAGATATTACAATGAAAACCCACAATACTCCCTTTAACATCTGTGTAACAGAACTGTATAACATTCCCATTAATATTCAGAATCTAATAATTAAGGGTAATCACCTGTAAGATAGATGTAAAAATTACAAGGCCATCTTAGTGAGTTAACTCCATTGGGTTACATCATTGCTTCCCAAACCTGGGTAAATTACCCAAAATTAAGTAAAGGTGGTTTTTCTTTAAGTAACAATATACAAATTCAATCACAACAGTACATTTAAATAAGAACTTTCTGATAAGCAGTAAAAAGGATTTTATGAAAATAAGTGGGTTTTGGGTAATGAAAGAAAAGGTTTGGGAAGCATGGGATTATATGAATTCTTACGAGACCTACTAAAAGCATCTGACTTTGTGTTTTGAAAGAGCTGGTTCAGAAATTCAGTAAATCAATTGATATGAAAGCATTATAGTCTGTGAATACATACACAACACACACACACACACACACACACACACACACAGAGTTATATATGAAAAAGATGAAATATGAAGCAATATATTCAAGGCTAAGGAACATATGTGTACAAGATAGAACAGTGTATTCTCACAGATTATTTTCATTTTATTTTCATTCACATATATCAGGGCTTTCAAACTCCCAGCCCATGGGCTGGATGTGTCACATGCTGGCCATGCCCATGCCCAGTTTAGCGAAGGGGGAAAAAGTCCTGATACGTCACATGATGCCGCTGTGATGACGTGAGATTGACACCCCTGACATATATGTATTGGAAACTTTATCTTTAGAACTAGAAGCATGAAGCATATAGTCTGACAATATAATTTCAGATAATAACTTAATAATAGCTTATACAGTTAATTCACATTCAGGTTAATTGCTATATAACAAAGAAGCAGAAATTGGGAAAAGAATCTGAAACAAACAACATTGATAATTTCTTGAGGAAGCAAACAGTATGCAGAAATACTAACCTAATAACTATGCAGAAATACTAATAACCATAAACACCTGCAGTTGACCTGTCTATAAGTAGATCTAAATTGGCTTGGTAGACATGGATATAGAGTGCCAGTATGGGGTGGGGATTAAGGCATCAGTCTATAAAGGAGGCTATGAGTTATAGTCCCACTTTAGGCATGAAGACAAGTTGAATTACTTGCCCAATTACACTCTCATCACTAGAAAAGAAGCAAGGTGAACCACTTGTGAAAAACCTTGCCAAGACTGCAGGCACTAATCCAGGCAGTTTCCAGGAGTCAAAACTACCTCAAAGTCACAAAAAGGGGAAAAAAAGATATAGATGTATCTGTAAGGTCTCTGCCTTGTGTCTTCTCTTATCTGCTTGTCTAGTAAGTGTTTGAAATCCTGTAAAGAACTCTGTATTTGCTCTGCTCAGAGCTCCTATGATGGGCAGGCCTACCTCTTCTGAGTTACTGGATCGTCAGAGCTCCCAAAAGTTAGCTGAATGTGCTTAGAGAATCCTTTGCAATGCAAAAATCTGTAGAAAGGAGCTTAAACATATACCCACATTTCCCGGTTCAATTTACTTATACCCTTGAGCAGCCACTGTCTGCACAGATCTTTAGGGCTTTTAGTAAAAGATAACAAAAGAGGAAAGCTGCCACAAGGGTAGATACAATATGCTTATTATTATATACTTAGTACATGAAGAAAGTCATTAACCATTTCTTTCTTTAGACTTATCATTACTATGTGATGCTATAGGTATACCTCAGTAGAAGACATGATTATGTATAACATGCTACTTAGCTTGTTGTATTTATTTCATCCTTATTGTATTCAATACAACCCAGTGGATTGTTTCTTGCACTGTGTCTATTGCGCAATGAGTTTTAGAATTCAGTTTGAATGGGCCTGCTTTCAAATTGAATGGCCTTTTCCAATTTTATAATTCAACAAATAAAGTAATAAGAACTGTGAAAGACAACATAATTATTTTCACAAACTCTTGTTTTTTCATAATCATGTCTGACATAATCAAAAGTGGATTATTTATTATTAAGCTATTTTCAAAGTTATGGTTATGGCCATTTTCATCTTTTTCTGTACCTTATAATCCACTAGTCTCCCATTTTACATTGTTCTATTTTTGATCTCAATTTTCTATGACACTAGTAACCCATCACAGGACTTTTCTCTCATTGGCTATTTAGTGTTAAATCTTTAGCGCCTTAAACATCAGAAGCTGCTTTGAAGAAGCTGTCACTATTTTAAAACTCTCAAAGAGCTTCACCTTCCCTCATTAAAGAAGTTTATTTTTAACAGCTTCTGCCCTCTTTTCTATTTCATTAGTTTTCCTCTGAGCTATCCCTTCTATATGAACATTTAATTAATAAGGAGGGGAAAAAAACTTTTAGAATATCTCACTGTTCCTGAAAGACGTGCATCCCTGTTTAGCTTTAAATATGGGGAATATGGATGGTAAATCTGTTGAAGAATTGAGTGCCACAGAGTGCCACCAGTGGTACAAGAAATTTATGACAGAGTGTCCCTCTGGACAATTGACTCTACATGAGTTTAAACAGTTTTTTGGATTGAAAAATCTGAGTCCACAATCAAATGAATACATTGAACAAATGTTTGAGACATTTGATTTTAATAAGGTAAGTGATTTAATATAATAGTTATAGCTTCCCAGATTCATTGAGAGTTTAAGTTTACAAGTTTAATAAATAATTATTATTGCATACAGTATTCTGTATTTGCACATTTGTGTGTGTGTGTGTGTGTGTGTGTGTGTGTGTGTGTGTGTGTGTAGAGAACATTGAAGTTGCAAAAGACTTAGAAATGTTCATCTGATCAAGATAACCATATGGAGTATTGTGGTTCTTTAAAAAACCACACATATTTATTAGCTGATATATTTGTGGGTAAATATAATATATGAAACATGATGCCAGAATGATTTATTAATTTTTAATGTGCCTCAGGAGTTTTGCTTGTGCTGACAAGCAAGTGATGTATATAGATCTATTATGCAATGGTCAATGAAACAATTTATGCACGTTGATTCATTTTCTACTTTGGCTGATAGATTTGTTTCTGTGAAAATTAACTGTAATGACTAGTTTTAACTAAAGAACAAAAGCATTATGTCGGCATTAATTCTGCATATACTTCCTATGTCATGTTTCAAATGGTTTTTATGATTGTGTTATATAAATAAACCATGGTATATTTTTTTGAAAAAATGTTTGTTACAGTGATTAAATTAATTATTTTTGGATTAGATGATGATTTAAAAGAATAAGACTAGTCTTCAGAAGCCTAGAATTGTCTCATTAAAAGACTCATAAGTAGAAGTGGAACAGAATGATTTTCATTGTCATTTCCTTCTACCCAATATCAGGTTGCTCCAGTTTTTCTCTTGTATCATTTACTTTTTTAAATCAGTCTCTAAATACTTAACCCTACAAAAATTATTTTCGTATCCAAATAATTTCATGTGGCAAGTATTAACAATGTCTATCACTTGTAGTTGTGCAAATATAAAATTATAACACTGAATCAGCTTTCCATAAGCGAAAGGTAAAAATTCTGGCTGGGAATTTGGGGGTACTATGGTACCAACAGTCCAGAATGGAGTTATCTTATGAAGCTAATGATTTTGACTAAGTCATATTATGAAACTCAACGGTTGACTGCTGACAATGGTAGGGAACCAGATACAGAATTCTGTGAGGAACTTTGAGGGGAATATCTCTTTCTGAGGGAAAGCATGCAAATGTGGAATTGTTTGTTTGTTGACATTAAAGAAGCAGGCTGGGCTTTCTTGTTGGGTCAGCTTTGCACTTCAGCAGTTTACCTTCATGTGTCTCTGCGTCAAAGCAAAATAGATTGAAGCATGCAAAATCCTTTCAAGGAGATTCAAGGAGTTCCTAGCTGTAATGCATAGATTCCAATGAGACATTGACTAGGAACAGTAAAATTAAAAATAAAAAGCACCTTAATTTAGTGACATGCTAAATTCATGTGAATTTCATTATGTGAATAGAGATGGAGCATACACGTTTGACCGTGAGAGATCAGGCAAAATAGATGCCATATAGAAGAAAAGTTAATGATAGTAATTCTTCTAACAGAAAAAACTCTGTAAGACATTGGAAGATATGGTTCCAATATGGACGATTAAAGGGTCCTGAAATATAGACTGTTCTATAATAATTATGGTATAATCAAAGGCAATTAAGCAGATATATATTCAATAGAAGAGAATATCTGTAATTCATGGTTGAATGTGGAATTCTTGATGCTTTCTGACCTTGGTTGTTTGTTTGCAGATGTTTCATTACTGCACTAAGTTACATCAGTGAGTTTGCCTCTCCTTTCCTAATCTGTTCTTTCCTAAATTAATTTATAGGGTTGATTAATTTGTATTGGCCCATTTAGGAAATGTGCAAGATGACTTTTTAGTTTGTGGTCTTAATTTCTCCTAAACTCAGTGGGTACAATGCATTATCTCTTTCCTGAAAACCTTGTTTGACCTAATAAAGCCATGGAACATCAACGGATCATCAAATTATTACTAGTTAATAGCATACCATTATCTTAAGAAACAATGTGCAAAGAGTTGAAGACCAATAAGGCAGATTGAAAAAGTGCCTTATTTATTTTCTTTGCTCATCATGACTGAATGTTAACAGTTGAAATTAATGTTAAAACGTCCTGTGTTTAAACATTTCCCCGTGCAATACTATCTTCTTTTATGATTACCTGTAGCAATTTTATTATACAATTGCATGGGACAGTTTTTAGCAGAGAAGTTCCTTTCTGGTTATGTTATCATAGAAATAATCACAAATTTTACTCTTCACAAAATACACTGGCCTGATCTTTTAACTTTCACTCTAAAACAAAAAAGTTTGGCCTTAAGCAAAATAATCAGTAGAAAAGGGGGAAAAAAACATAATTTCTGAATAAGAGCTTTCAAGCTCAAGAGGATAACTACAACATTAGATGATAACTACAACATCAGCAATAATCATAATCATAAAGTGCAAGTTCAAAAATACACTTATAAAAGCTGTGGATGTAAGTATAGCGCTAGCTTACTTAATGAATATGTCACTTTTTGCTCTTCAATAGGATGGATACATTGATTTTATGGAGTATGTGGCAGCTCTAAGCTTGGTTCTGAAAGGGAAAGTGGAACAGAAATTGAAGTGGTACTTCAAGCTTTATGATGTCGATGGGAATGGCTGTATTGATAGAGATGAGTTGTTAAACATCATTAAGGTAAATTATTTTCTTCAATCTTTTCTTCAGTCAATTGTGCTTTTCATTATTAATGGCTGATATATCCAGATATTGCCCTTGATGGGTAAGATACTAAAATTTTTAAATTTCACCCACACTATATGTACCATATATATCTATTACTTATGTACAGGAAAATGAGTGGGGAAACTGTAATATATTCAATGTAGAGGATGTTATATTTATAACAGAGATGGGTTTAAACTCTACATAATATCATTTTGTCAAGTCAGCTAGTCTAGTACATTAAGCACTGATGATTGGGAACATATAATTGTCATAAATATGATAATTCAAGAGACATTAGTAGTATCAACAGTACTTGAAACTTAAATCTAATATTCAATCTTCTCTGATCACTAATAGAAGCAGGATGGTTATTTTATAGAACTCGGGGGCTATTTTTGGTGATTCTCACCCCCCCAAAAAAACAACAGTCAGAATAGTAGTTGCTAGAATTTCCTATGGTAATGAACATTCCCCCTGAGGTGAGGTTATTCCCAAATCTCTTAGCCTTCCAGAAAGTCTTCCTTAAAACATACTTTTTCCAGCAATTTTGGGAAACTCTTGGGGATCCTGCAAAGTGATGATTATTATTTAGGAAATATATTTGGTGTCCATCTCTTTTCAAAGTGACTCTAGATAGAATGTTTTATGTAAATTGATTAGTATTCTCCTGCACTCTTGTTTATTCTATGCTTTTACTTTTTACTTGTATTTTAGGGTTTTGATGATGGTCATACAGCTTTAGTATAATGGAACAATGGTTATAAGGGATGCAGTGGCTCAGTGGCTAAGATGCTGAACTTGTCGATCAAAAGGTCAGCAGTTCAGCAGTTTGAATCCCTAGTGCCGCATAACGGGGTGAGCTCCCGTTACTTGTCCCAGCTTATGCCAACCTAGCAGTTTGAAAGCACATACAAAATGCAAGTAGAAAAATAGGGACCAGCTTTGGTGGGAAGGTAACAGTGTTCCATGCATCTTTGGCATTTAGTCATGCTGGCCATATGACCACTGAGATGTCTTCAGACAGCGCTGGCTCTTCGGCTTTGAAACGGACATGAGCACCGCCCCCTAGATTCGGGAATGACTAGCACATATGTGCGAGGGGAACCAATGTCTGTTAGAGGAGAACCACTCTGTGCTGGAGCAGGGGACAAATGGATCACCTGAAAGTGATTACATCATTAAAGCAATAGGTCAAGAGCTAGAATGGTCAAATGACTATAGCGAGAGGCAGACTATCTCCTATTTCTCCTTTGGTGCGGGCAAAGTGCTTAAAGAGATTACACCATCTCTCCAAGACCAAAGCACAAGCAGAAAGCAAGAAGACTGGGTAAATGGATATATAGACAAAAAACTGGGTGGATTAGAACTGTCTTACACAGGGGTCTCCAACCTTGGCAACTTTAAGACTTGTGGACTTCAACTCCCAGAATTCCTCAGACAGCTTTATATATAAAAATATAATCTGATCTTCACATTTTAAAATCACAAATTAATTTGTAATTCCTATTGGAAAATACTGCATCTATTTGAGAATTTGTTGGTTTTCTTTTTTTAAAAAGTCATATATATTCAAACTGTTCACAGGTAGGAAAATTGAATGTAGACCTTTTAAAATGTTTTTTTAATCTATATATATATATATATATATATATTTCTTTTCAGGCAATTCGCACCATTAATCCATGTCAAGAAATCATGTCAGCTGAAGAATTCACAGATATGGTGTTCAATAAAATTGATATAAATGGAGATGGTAAGAAACTTCTCTATCTACGCTGAGATATTAATGGTTGCAATCCAATAGTATATAATGATATCTGAGTAGGAAAAAGGTTAAAACTGACAATTTGTCAATGTTCAGAATGGACTGGATGCTATTCCATTTCTTTTTGGCTTGATAAATTTAACTGAATCTAGCTAAACTGTTAACAATTCTACCTCCTTAAATCTATTTTATTGCACCCACCACCCCTTCAAATTAATCTCAAAAATGAAGGAATAATCATCAATGGGAAATGCCCAAAGTACACATCAAGAAGAGAAAGTTAAAGTTAAAACCAGTGAAATATTGAGGTCCAGAAATCATGTCTTCCAGTTATTTAAGATCAGAAACAGAGAAGTTATTTACAAGCTGAAGCCTGCATTTTCTTATGCAAAAGTAAGAAAATGGTAAGTGGAATGAAACCCATAGGCCCATCCCATCCATTCAGCCATCGGCTTCAGATTTGAGTCTTGCATCTATCCACAGAGAGAAACTTGGACAGGCTTTGAAGTCTGATGTCAGCCTTTGATGCAAGCTAGATCAAGAAACAGGCATGGCAGGGAATCCAGGAATGCTTGTTTTGTAGTAAGATAGGATAACACAATCTTGAAAGCTGTCCAAGTTTCTCTCTGTCCCATCTTATACCATATACAATCAAGGCAGGGTTGTTTTGAGTTTCTTTCTCATGTTCTCCTCTTTCTCAGGATTGAAGAAATTTAATTGTTTGTTTGTTTTTTCTCTACCTCCAAGGTCAGTTCTAAATTCTTTACAGATTCCTTGGTGCATTTGGTTGGTTGATCCATCAAACTTTTTAATGTCCTTACAGAAATGGGAATGTCAAAAGCATAACAAAAGGCTACAACTTTTTTTTTTCTTTCTCAAAAGGTGACCAGACTTAAGCATTAGGGGATGATGCAGTTAGTGCTAACTGGATATCCATGCATTGTATTATTCACAAAATCAGCTCTCATTCATTTCATCAGGCCATCCATGAACCAAATTTTCTTGTTTGTTTCTGTAGGTGATTTGTCTCTTGAAGAATTCATAGATGGAGTACAGAAAGATGAGGTTCTACTTGACATTCTCACCCGTAGTTTAGACCTGAAACATATCTTTAAAATGATCCAGAATGATGGAAAGAGCCCTGAAACATCTGCAGGATCCACAAAAAATGAATAGGCAAATTATTGTTTTTTAAAGAAAAAATATAATATTATGAGAACAAAAACCTCAACACTAAAAATTGTAACAACTTAGAATATTTATTTTGTATGTATAATAGACAGAGACACTTGTCTATTATGAACACACTGAATAATTGTTATCACCAATTGATGAAGATATCAGATTGGCCTAGAAAATTAAGGCAATTATCAATGCTTCTGGGTCAGAGGAACACATAAAAATGGAAGAAGATCCTTAGTTTATTTGGTCTTTAAAGTATCAGTGAGGAAGGTAAGTGTAAGTATATTCTGAGATGGATCCACAAGATGCCTTATGCCATTTTGACTGCTTCTTGTGGTTTCTTCTTATGGTGAGGACACAAGTCAGTTAGAAGAGAATTAAATTAAGGAAAGTTGAAAAATACAGCTTTGGGTAGAATGTCTATCTTTTGATAATCCTAAACAGTAGTGGAACTAAATGGCATCCAAGATTACCTTTCACTTCCTGAATATCTAAAAATGGTTCTTTAAAATCAGCGCTGCAAATTCCATTTACTCAAATTTGATCTCGAGTCTGTAGGTCTATTACAACTCCTTTGATATAAGTCCTTTTGCATATTCAGAAGTTCTTTTTAATACATGAATGAGATTGCCCAAAGAACAATATATAGGCTTTATATAGATTTAGCACATGCCGTTTAAAGATGAAGTGCTATTTTTTACTGTAGAAAATGTTGCTGATATAAGAATATGCTACTTTTTTGGGGGAAAATAATTCATCCTTTGGTTTGAGTTCTTCATATGTGCATACTATATTTTGTTTCCCTAAAACAATTCTGTATTCTTTTTTTTTTTAAAAAAAATATGAGACTTATTAATTATTTCTCTAAATACATTTTTACAGGAAATGAAGCATCATTTAGGTTTAGTTGGTAGCAGATTGACACTCAAGTTCAGGTACATAGAGAAAAGCCCCAGATGCTAAAATCTTTTCTAAATCGATTAAGGTTTTAATGGTATGCATTCATTAGGGATTTTGTAGCCTAAGCATTGCAATGACCACAATGAAAAAAATCCATTCTTTAAAAAAAAAATACAGAAAATAGTTGACTTTCGTAAGAGAAATTCTGAACATTTGTGACTGCATTTTTAACAAAGAATAATTATGTGAAAGCATCAATATATACTTGATTAGAAAAAAAAATTCTCTTTTAGCTTTGGTCTAGTGCAGGCGTCTCCAACCTTGGCAACTTTAAGACTTGTGGACTGAAACTCTCAGAGTTCCTCAGCCAGCAAAGCAAAGCTGGTTGAGGAACTCTGGGAGTTGAAGTCCACAAGTCTTAAAGTTGCCAAGGTTGGAGACCCCTGGTCTATTGGTTAAGGCACCAGGCTTGAAAGCTAGAGATTGTGAGTTCTACTCCTGCCTTAGCCATGAAAGCCAGCTGGGTGACCTTGGGACCATTCATTTTCTCTCAGCCTATCTCACCTCTTAGGGTGGTTGTGTGGAAAATAGGAGGAGGAAGGTGTGTTGGATATGCTCACAACCTTGAGTTATTTGTAAAAAAAATAAATGTGGGATATAAGTAGCATAAATAAAAATAAATAAAATAAAATATTAAATTCATAACACGGGCTAAGAAATCATAAAGTACCTGAAAATACGAGAAAGTACTTTCTAGTATGAATCACAAAAGCTACATGCAGAACTCTGCATGACTCAGTCAAATTTTTTATTGTGAGGTTTTTTTATTGGCCAGTCAGTGGTGGCATGAATTAAGATCTATTTGACTTGCATGTGCCATCTTTGACATGAACAATGAGGCTGAAAATTGCCGTACAAAATGAATAAAATTGTGTTGCTGTTTCTTGAGAAAAGTGAGACAATAAGCAGATTAAGTCATATTATCCTGAAGGGAAAAGAAAAAAAAACCCTAAAATCTAAATCCATAAATTAGATTTTTGGGGGAATAAGGCTTGCTTTAAAATCAAACGAGGAAAGCATTATTTCTTTGAATTTTAGCTTCAAAATAAGTGCTATGCTACAGTACTTTATCAAAACTGTAATATTCTAAGATACTTGATATAGCAACACATTTATCTTTCTTTAGATATAGGCAGGTATGAGAATGATTGAACTGATACTGGAATTAATTATTTCCTTCAGTTTAACTATTTTATATTAGATTTGTTTATGTAGACTTCTCTGATTTTCTATATATATTTCAGTTTACATGTCTGATTTTATTTTTTATACTTATAGTACAATGAAATGACACATTAAAGTTTGCATTTTATAAAATCATCAGTTTGGAATTTTAATTTTAATTTTGGAATCAGTACTGTATATGTTCCCCCCAATTTTCTAAAATGCTTGGTATAAAGATGAACTATACATATATATATATATGAACTGCTGGAAACTGCAACCAATTTGAGCATGGGAGTCAGTGGCATTCATGGGGCTGGCCAAAAAGTTTAAGATGGTACCGTGTTTTCCCCAAAATAAGATCCTGTCCTATATTTTTTTTAACCCCGAAATAAGTGCTTGGCCTTATTTTCAGAGAGATCTTATTATTTTGTGGCGCATGGAGCAAGATGGGGCTTCTCTTGCCATCTTACCTGATTTCCAGCTCTGCGTTTAAATATTTTCGGGGAGGGCTTATTTTCGGGGGAGGCTTATTTTAGTTCATGTGCCCAAAAGCCCGAGTGGGCTTATTATCAGGGGATGTCTTATTTTGGAGAAACAGGGTAGTTATGCCAGCTTAGTCAAAGCCTCACTTCTTTTGAAGAAGGGGAGGAGAGAGGATGGGACAGGAGAGGGAGATACTACCTCGTAAGGCAGGGATCCTTAAACTACAGCCAAGGAATCGAATATGGCCTGCTGAAGCAATTAATCTGGGCCCTGCGGCACCATGAGGCTGCCCACCCACATTTCCCTGCCTACCCGAGTGCAGGCCTTACTTTTGTGGGCAGCCGTGGTGAGCAGAGCAGTGCAAGCCCAGTGGGCTGCAACTGGAAGGTAAGGCCAATGGCAGAGGAGGGAAATCCACTCTGGGCCCACCATGCTAGGCTGAACGGCATCTTGGGGGGATGGGGGTGGACACAATGAGGCTAACCACCTTTTACTGCTCTGGGTTTGGCAGTTTGGCTTTCCTGGCTGGCCGCAACACCTGATCCCCATTTACTCTTCCCTTTCTCCTGTGGCTGGTGGCAGAGAGGAAGGCCACTCGCCCCTCCTCAGCCCACATCTCGCCTGCCCCATCCGGACTCTCCACAGCTGCTGGGCCTCACCTGCCATGGGTGCCAGCAGCCAGGAAGCACAAAGCTGTGCTTCCTGCATTCCTCCTCTGCCAGCTGGCTTCCCCTGATGGCCTGCAAACTTTGGCCGAGCACAGGCCTTACTTTCGCAGGCAGCCGCGGTGAGCAGAGTGGTGCAAGCCCCGTGGGCTGGAACTGGAAGGTAAGACCAACAGTGGGAGAGGGAAATCCACTCTGGACCTGCTGTGCTAGGCTGAAGGACCATCTCAGGGGGTGGGACTGTGGACAGCGAGTCTCAGCCACCTTTCAGGCCTGCCTCTTGGCTTCTTGGCTTGGCTTCTTGGGCGCCTGCCGCATGCTTGGCCTCTCCTCCACCTCAGGTCCCACATCCAGCCACGACCAAGGGTATGCGTTGCCCAGTGCAGCGCTCTTCCCTTAGGGCTGCCTGCTCACCCATCCACTAGCCGGACTGGCGTGGAAATGGTGCATCAACTTGTGCCCATCCTTGGCCTCCTCCTGCCCAGCCGCCAGATTCTTGATGCGAGAGAGGCTGCTGGTTGGAATGAGGGGAACCTCAGTGCTGGGCTTCCGAGGCTGTGAATGCCAGGGCATAGATAGAATTGGAAGAAAAGGCTGTGTGGCAAGAACTGGAGCAACACCCGGCAGCTTGGATGAGAAGGTGTGAGCGAGGTGGTGGCTGCCCTCACCAGTAACTGAGCCCACTGTGCTAATTTGTGCCTTACTCCAATTTACACAGTGGACTCAGTTACCAGCAAGAGCAGCTGCTGCCTCGCTCATATCTTCTCATCCAAGTGGCTGGGTGTTGCTCTGGTTCTTTTTGCCACAGCCGCACCACCTTTTCTTCCAATTCTAGCTATGCTTTGGCACTCGCAGCCATGGGAGCCCAGCACTGCAGTTCCCCTTGCTCCAACCAGTAGCCTCTGCTCGCATCAAGAATCTGGTGGCTGGGCAGGAGGAGGCCAAGGATGGGCACAAGTTGATGCACCATTTCCACGCCAGTCCGGCTAGTGGATGGGTGAGCAGGCAGCCTTAAGGGAAGAGCGCTGCACTGGGCAACGCATACCCTTGGTCGTGGCTGGATGTGGGACCTGAGGTGGAGGAGAGGCCAAGCATGCGGCAGGCGCCCAAGAAGCCAAGCCAAGAAGCCAAGAGGCAGGCCTGAAAGGTGGCTGAGACTCGCTGTCCACAGTCCCACCCCCTGAGATGGTCCTTCAGCCTAGCACAGCAGGTCCAGAGTGGATTTCCCTCTCCCACTGTTGGTCTTACCTTCCAGCACTGCAGTTCCCCTTGCTCCAACCAGTAGCCTCTGCTCATATCAAGAAGCTGGTGGCCAGGCAGGAGGCGGCCAAGGATAGGAGCAAGGTGACGTACCGCTTCTGGGCCAGTTTGGGCAGGGACTGGAGAGCCGTGCAGGAACAACTCACCTGAAAGGACTACGGCAGAGCCTTGCAGATTTAATATGCCATCTAGCCTCCAGGTAAGGCCCCTCCTCCTCCTCCTCTCTCCTTCTCCTTCCTGAAATGTCCTGTTTTTCCAAACACCTGGCCAGGCCAGGCAGCAATTCCCAGGGAGGCTCAGGCTGTATCCCGCAGCTTGCATAAACCGCTCCCACCCCTTTCAAAATGGTCACCCGGCACGTTCTCAGGCACCCAGGGCCAGTGAGCAGCTCTTCTGAGAACTGGGGAAGAGGAGGCAGGGGCGCCGACAGAGACTGTCTTTGGTTTCTTGTTCTGCTGCAACCCCGAACGACTGGCCTTGGCTGCGGCTCACGGATGCTCTGTCTGCCAGGGGAACCGAAGCGGCAAAATGCCATCTTCCGCTGGCCCTGTGTCCCCAGGCAGAGCACTATGCAGAAGGGCTTGCCCTAGGCTGGAGCGCCAAAGAGGAAATGATGATGACATAAGGGAAGCCACACGACCGGAGGCCTGGCTGCTGCAACCTGCAAGAAAATCACCATCTTTGGCACCACCGGCATGACGGGCCTGGCTATTCTGGCCTAAGCCATGAAGGCGGGTGAGGCAGGATAGGGGGCATCGGTCTGGGGGGGAAGAACAAGTGAGGGACCTGTGAAGGGGCTGCAAAAGGACATGCTCTGGACATGACTGCTTCTCCAGAGAAAGTGGCGCAGCTGCTGACAATTGGGGGGGGCGGTGAGTATCAAAGGAGCAACTCCTCGCATTCTGGCTGCTGCTATGAATATGAGAAACCCAGCCAATGTTTTGAGCACGGTTAACATCTCCAGCCAAATGAGTTCTCGGTTAACACTCAACACACCAGTGGTGGGTTGCTACCGGTTCGCACTGGTTCGGGCGAACTGGTAGCGATGGCGGCAGGAGGCTCTGCCCACCTGCCCGGATGCTTCTGCACATGCATAGAAGCTTCTGCACATGTGCAGAAGTGCTGCATGTGCACATGAGCACGCACATGAGCAAACTGGTAGCGATGGGATTTGGAACCCGCTCCTGCACCACACCTGTCAATTTACCAACTCCAGTTACTGCACCAGTGAACATCGCACATCCAGTCACTATCACCTCATCAATGAATCACCCAACACCAATGACATTAGCCGGCCCTTTAAATATAGCCACGAGACCTTTCCTTCCCCAGGCATTGCCAACCTCTCCCCCCGGTAAAGAAAAAAAAAACCCTAGAGCCATGATGGCGAACCTATGTATGCCACAGGTGGCACGTGGAGCCATATTTGTGGACATGCGAGCGTTGCCCTAGCTCAGCTCCAGCATACATGTGCGTGCTGGCCACCTGAGTTTTGGCCCTTCCAGGCCCACTGGAAGTCAGGAAACGGGCAGTTTCCGGCCACCGGAGGGCCTCTGAGGGGGGTGGGGAAGGCCGTTTTCACCCTCTCCAGGCCCCAAGAAAGGAATTTATTCCATAATCTTGACTGATTAAAAACATCTCTAGAATCATAAAATGCTGAAAATCATTTGGCTATTAGTTTATTTACTTGGAATTATTTATACCACATACAGAATGTATTGATATCTTTCATCATCTACATTCCAGTCCTGTTTCCTCATTAGATTGCTCCATAAAACACCAACAGAGATCTTTAGTCTTCAAGATATGTCCCTTAAAATGTATATTATTTCCAGACTTTACAGCCAGAATTCTATCCCCACTTTTATCCCTTGATCATCTGCCATCATGATAAAGGACGTTATTCATTATATGCACTCTTTTACCTTTCTTAATGTATCTTATTACTTATTCATCAAAACATCTTCTATATGTATTTATGTAACTGAGAATCAATTTGAGCTGCTTTTCTGTACTGCATTTACAGAGGAAGGAAGGAAGGAAGGAAGGAAGGAAGGAAGGAAGGAAGGAAGGAAGGAAGGAAGGAAGGAAGGAAGGAAGGAAGAAAGAAGGGAGGGAGGGATTAAAGTTTGAGAAGAATTCAACTTGCAAGGATTTTCATGAGATATATTTGTCCTGTTTTTTTTTTAAAAAAAAATCTTCTGTGTTGGTTTCTTCCATAGCCTAGAATACCACCAACTGGCCAATTCTATAATTACACTCCTTTAATTTATATTCATGTCACAAAAATGTTATGTACTTCTGATACCAAAACATCTTTCATAACTCAAGTTTTGTTAAACCTTTATCAGAATAGAGAGTCATCATGTACAGTATTCTCTATTCAGTTACCCAGTTCTTTATGGCTGCAAAACCACTATAGTCAGTGAGATTAAAAAAAGAAACTTTGATACTGAATTGTGGACTCTATACTACTTTCTTTACTGGCTGTTCAAGATCTTTCTCTCTGCCACTGTAATGAGCTTTCATGGAGTTGATAGGTTAAGACTAATATCTGCTGGCAGGTTTGCACTGCTGAGCTGTGTTTGGCTCTGGCGAGGCCAGTGATTGGCACTGTTTATCCAAGATTTAATGTGGGGCATTAGCAAAACGATTGGTGTCACCAGTTGGTAGGAAAAAACTTCAAATCACTTCATAAGGGAGGAGGAAAACTGGTCTTAAAATAGCTAATCCATAGGCCAGGGGTGGGGGGTGGGGGGGGAGACTGCCTTACCAGACAGATTCTATCCTTCTCATATATAAGGAATTGCATCATCTGATCTCCGAGATGATAATAGTGAGTTGCACAGTAAAACAAGTGATTATGTGCTGCTTTCCTCAGCAGGACTTTTTAGGTTTCCCTTGGGTAGCAAAGCAAAGGTTTGATAGATTTCCAAGAATACAAATGCTTGGAGAAGTAGAATTTCTTGTAGAAAATCTATAAAGCCATTACAGAAGAATTCCAGTGACCGCTGTGTATGAAGCCTTATTTATAGTAAAATCAAAACAAAAATAATTCTGCCTTTCTCCCACCCAAGCAATTGAATGGGCTAGATTCTTTTTGAGTGGCAAGTCCAGTTTCCATGTATCTCTTGTTTTGGTAACAGACAATGGACAGATAACAGATTGGTTATCTGTTCATTAACATCAGTAACTTTAACAATTCACCCTCATGGATGAGAGTAAGCGCCTATTTTGTGGTAATGGTGGTGGATAGCTTTACAATGAGAACTCACCCCTGTCCCCATTGCTTTTTTTACCTTTCTAATCCCTGGAATCCTTTAGGGGAAGCAGGAAATGGGCTTTTAGCTATCAGTTATCTCATCCCAGGAACAGGTATCTAAAAAGCTGCTTCTCCACCACCACAAACACATAAGACATCAGAGGTTTGAAATAAAGATTTCTCAAACTGTATAATTGGGCCATGGGACTATGCATGTAAGCTTTAGCAAATTTTAAATCACCAATTCGCTTTTTGAGTCCTGCGGCAGAATTTTCTCTGACACAACCAGACCATTAATTTCATGAAATACACACTCAGCTTTATTAGATGGAAAGATTTCACCAATTCATAGGAGACAAAGAGAAGCTGTACATCTATGATTGTTTAGCTATTCGTAATACCTGCCTTATTTATAAAATACATTCAAAGTGGTTTCATAAAAACATCAAAACTAAATTAAGATGTTTAGCATGTTCACACAATATCCTAATTATAAAGTTTTAAAGGTTTCCCGTCTAGTTGTGACTGACACAAGGGGGCGGTGCTCATGTCCGATTCTCAACTGAGGGAATCCTGTGTTGTCTGAGAGACGCTTCCATCATCATGTGGCCAGCATGAAAATATGGAATGCAGTAACCATTCCCAGTGAAGAGGTACCTTTGCATGCTTTCAAACTGCTAGGTTGGTTACTAGTTGGGGCGAGTAATAGGAGCTAACCCTCGTGCACTCTTGGGTCTCAAACCCAGGCTGTCAGCTTTCCAAGCCCACCATCTAAACCACTGAGTCATCGCGCTGCCCTTGTCTTAATTATACAGAAGTATAACTAAAAGTGAAAAGAATAGCTAAAAAGGAGGAAATGAAACTGAAGCAAAACAAAAACAAGCCTCCATTAAAGATGGGAAATTCTTAGCATCCCATAAAATCTTAAATTGTGTGTCCCCCACCTTGTACTTAATCACTGCACTATCATGTCATGGCAATTCTTATTGCTTTCCTTGTCCCTGTGATGCTACCTGCATTTTATCTCATGAGTGAGATACAACCTAGCATTTAGTTGTACTGGTATTAAATGAATACTATTTTCTTCTATATTCTGACATTATGCAACAACAGTTTTAAGATGCATAAAATCTATTAAGTGTTCACTGCCAGATAACTGGCAATGATTGTGAACAAAGATAATAGAAGTAGAGTTAAAAATTGCCAACGGAGACATAAATGATAGTACTATTTTCCAACTCAAGGATAGGTGGACAGTACTTTAATTCAGTAGTGGAAATGAGCCTGTAGAAAATTGAAGGCATTATTTGTTTTATTTATTAAATTTGTTTGTCACCCGTCTTGCTGTGATGCAACTCTGGGGAAATTTAGGGAGAAAAATTGTCTGTAAGGAAGAGAGCGATTGGCCTTGTAGACTTCTGACAAATATACAGTATTCTAGAAGAGGATATGGCTGGCTGGATCCCTGAAAAGAAGTCATACCCATGGTGATTTAAAGGGCTCTTACCCATTCTTGAGTTGGAATAAAACTATTCCAGAATAAAATGTTCTGACTTTTTCCCATCTTTGACATAAACTTCATATGCAAAGCACTAACAACTCCTCTTGTACCACAAAAATGAAGCTGGCTAATAAATTAAATATAATGAATGAAATGGCAGAGATTATTGGTGTAACTAAGAAATTAAGACTTTGGGTTTGGTCTCCCTTTTCAACACTCCCCATCCCTGCCCAGTATGAGCTGCCAGGACTGTTGGGCGTGTTAAGCACCTGGAACACATAGATTGTGTGTGAGATAAAGTTTATTTCATTTTGGGAAATCAATATGTGTTCTCAAAGATTACATGGCATTGTTTATATGAGGTCATTGTGAAACCATAATTATAGAACTGTTTCCTTGGCACACAAGTAGCTATTATAATCATGGATTTAAAATTTTCTGGCACTGGAATAATAAAAAAAAAAGCATGAATGCATAGAATGAACCCACATCTTTATTTCTATATGGGATATCCCAGAAAACAGAGTATAGATCAAGGATTTTGGGGGACACACAAAAAGTTATGACAATCAAAAGTGTATTAAAGTGATGTTAACTTGGGACAAAAGTCTAAATCTAAGTCACATACACTTTTAGATTCTAAATTTTACCTAGAATTAATGCAGGTATTGACTGCAGATAAATTATGAATTTGCATACTTTCTTTTACCTAATTACTATAGTAACGATATTGAGACTGGGAATTATGTTAAGTTGATAAGGTACAGATCTATCAACTTCACTCAAAGTAATTACTATGCACAGATATTGGACCTGTTGATTTTTTGTGAAGAAGTTACAATTAAAGATGAAATTTGGGGGAAGTAGAACTGAGGCATAATTTTTTTATCAGGGATCTCTCCAGCAAGTGATTGAAGAAGCTGTGCCATTAAATATCTTCTTCTCATCTCCAAGTTGACCAGAAAGACCAAAGCCAAAGATAGATGAAGTGATTCTTAACTATAAATCCATTGCAGTTTATGAAGTTCAGCAAACTTTTGCAGTTTACATTGCACACAATATTAAGATCTTAGTGTGGATGTGGAAGATGGCCTTTAATTGAGCGGACTGGAACTTTCTATTTTGGACTCTTTGAAAAATGGATTACGTATATGTTGAGCTATAAGGCAAGAGAACTATGGAATTGGGGCATGCAGAAGATCTGGTTGTTACCCTAACATGGTGGTTGGAATTAATAATCTAGACAAAAGACATTACAGAAGATACTATATGGAATATAAATATAAAGTTACTCGGGTGGTTTTTTATATATGAAAACACTTATTATTGATGGGGGCAGATGGTAATTGAAGATACTGAATATACTGTTGGAAGCAGAACTTGATGTTACCCTAACATGGGTGATGGAATTAACAATCCAGTTGAAAGACATTACAGAAGATACTATATGGATTACAAACTTAAAGTCATTTGAGGATTTTATTTATATATGGAAATATCTTTTAGTGGTGTGGGCAGAAGAACAAAGATATTAAAAATATTATGTATGGTAGACCTGTAGGAAAGTGGGTGGAGATAGGTTAGGCTACTGATTGTTTAGTTTAGGAAAAGGGATGTTATGGGGGTGGAGGAAATGGGATTATGAGTTGAATAAATGCCAAATTAGGATTTATTATATAATTTTATAGCTGAATGTTGCTTTGAAATGTATAGTATAGGGGGGATATAATAATAATGTTAGAAAGAAATGTATAGCATATGGGAGGTGGTGTAAAAGGATGGTAAAGTATTATACAATGTGATATCAATTTGGATTTTATTTTGGAGAAGCCAAGGGGGGAGGGGAGGGTGAGGGGGGGTTAGGGAGGAGGGGGGGGAAAAGGGGGAAAAATCTGTATTTGAAAAACTTTTTCAATAAAAAAAAAGATCTTAGTGTAACATTTTTAAGCTCCAACGCATAAGAAAAATTGTATGCTGTACTCCTCACCTGATATTTTTGACAACTTTAACAAATAACTGTGCCATTGGTTGAACCTATGATCATAAAATTCTAAGATCAGGAGACCATTTTCTTTATGAGCAGCAGGGACCAAAGGAAACTTATGAAAACTTTTCTTTTTCTAAGCCAGTTCCAGAAAACAAGGTTAACACATAGCTAACTTATTGGAAGTGCTGCGTTGTCATCTTTTCTCACCTTCATTTAAGACTAGTATTTACTATTGCTGCTGAGAAATCTTAGTTCACTAAAATCAAATTATTTCAATATGCCAAATGATTTTTGCATTTTTCTGCAGAGAATTTCATCCATTCCATGTACTATCTACAAAAATCAGTGTGCTGTAGGGAATGTTCATTGTATCTTACTGATGCTGGTTTGGGCTACATTCACACTAAATGGTTGAGTTTGCTCAAAATGCCAAGCTACAGTATATCTAACTTGTTTATAATTCAATATATTGTGCAAACCAGATAGTTTACAAACCCTTGCAACTGGATTATTTGCTTCTCCCCAGAAGATTACAAAACATTAGCTTTTCCCTGATATGGTAATTTTTGCTACATATGGACTTCTATTTGATAGAAAATTTGATCATATGATACCACCTTGCTGTGTGAAATATATAGCCCAGGCATTATTTTTAAACATGTCACCTTTTTCTGATAACTAAGTCTGGGGTCAGAAGTAAACAATATGGGGTAGTTGCTAGTATCCTGTGTTGTGAGTTGGGCCTTTTGCCAACACTGTCAATAGTCCAAAATCAGGTATAGCCACCCAAATAGTCCTCATCCCTACATTTCAGGTGGGTTTTTAATTTTTTCCCCAAAATTACCATGACATAACAATTGTTCCAGGGTGGTGGCCTAGATGCACAGCAGAATAATTAAAAAAAATAGCATTATGTTGTTGTTTTTTCCCTAGAGCTCAGCCTGCTGCTATCAAGGAAAAACAGAATGAAGGAAAAGGGATGCTTTTTTTTCCTCATTACATTTTTGAAATAATACAAGCAATGATTAGAGCACTGTAGATTTTCTTCTCTGATTGGCAAGCCATCCACCTGGGCTTGTATCGATTTGTAGCATTTTCATCACCCACTTATCTCTTTGTGCTCCATCAAGGAATTCATCCAGAGATAATTGTCCTAAAGAATCAATGGCAAAAAAGAAATCATAGTATGTTAAAAAATGGGGAAGATGAGATCCAATCCCATTAGTCAACTCCCATCTTCCTTTTTCATTGGACTATAAAGAGAAGGAAATGTACTAACAGATCAAAATGTTGCTTCTTTCATTGAGAACAGATGGAAACCTTTATATTTTCTTCAACTAGGGCAGTGATATACAAGAATAATTAACTACGATAGAGTTACTTGGAAACTCCGATTTGAAATTTCAGAAACATAATTTTGATGGGATAGTAGATAGTGGTCACCTGCCCTTCATAAATATTTAAAGAAGTCAGGAAATCTTAAAGCAAATTTGGAAAGGACAAACCAGATAATGCAATATTTAGGTGTGTTGGAGAAATGAATCATTCTGGAAAGTATTCGCCACAATATTATACAGAAATCGAGGTGAATGAGTCACAATCTGGGAAACTGACATTTTTTTTCCTGCCTTCCACCCCTACTGAATAGTAGAGATAATGAATCTGGGCGTCTATTAGAGAATGAGAAAGAGAAAGAGAAAGCTTCAGTTTCCAATCACTAGCATTATGGAATGTGTGGTCGCTCCCTAGAGCTGATGTGAACACCAGATAGCTTTCCCAAATGCTTGTTTAAACATTATTCAAATACTGTTATCATTCCCCATATTTTTTTAAAAAATAAAAATTGAAAAAAACTGTAATTAAATAATTCAAATATTGTAGTTCTTTTGTAAAAAGGAAAAGAACTCAACATGAGTGTGCTCCTTGGATTTCTCACTGACCACATCACTGTCATTTGGTAAGTCAATAACTGTTAAAATGTCAGTTAAAAAATCCATGTTTTAAAGGACATGAATTAGATCTGTGTATTACTTGCATCAGCCACAGGCAATCTGTTGCCACCAGAATCGTTGAGATGTAATTCTTATTGGATTTGTACTGAGCCATGATGTTTTGGGAACTTTTGTGTTACAAAAAATCTAGGAGGGCATCACATTGCCAACCATAATTTCAAATAAGACATCAGTATGGCTTCAAATCAAGTTATTACCATCTCCATTCTCATCTACGAGATGAAATATTCTTTCCACAACCTCTTCTGGAGTAAGACCAGGAACGGCTCTTTCTTCTTCAGACTTGTATGCTTCCTTAATGCTATAAATAGCCTGGAGGGAAAAAAAATTATATGTTAAATGAGAGTCACATAATAAAGCATATGTAAACCTCTGAGATAGATGCACATATAAATTTGATGACTAGCTTGATCAAGTGTTTGCAAAGTTAAATACAGCAAAAGAAACCTTTTAGGAAATTTATAGGATGAATGATGTAGATTGTTTCTATATGGACTCCTAGTGCTGTATCAGATGCAATGCATTCTGCAGATGTTTTGCATTTTTAATACAAATTTATGAAAGAAACTACAATTAAACATACATTAGCTACGAAACAAACAATTGGAAAACTAAAATGAAACATACATTAGCTATGTTATCTATAACCCAGGATTTCAGGTTTGTTCTGAAAAAAAACCCCACATAGTTTATTCTCTCATATTCCTTTTTTCTTTCTGAGGGGAAGGTAAAATTAAACAGAAGAAATAATGTGTTGTCTTAGTGGAACCTGTTTGTTTGCTCTTAAATAAACTGAGAACATGTCAGCAAAGAGTTGTTAACATCCATTCTCTTTCTTTCATGTGTTCTGAAACTTCTGCTTAAAATGTAAGGAGAAAAAAAAATCATCTACTCACCTTCCTTCTTTCTTTTGGAGGGATTGTGTGTTGTGAAGACTAAATTTTTTTTAAAGAATAAATTTTAGATGAAAAAAGAACGTTCAGTGAAAACACCATACATTTCTACTTACTTCAATTATTTCTAGGAGTTCAGGTCTATCTATGCAGCCATTTCCATCTTTATCATATATTTTGAATGTCCATCTCAGTTTGTGTTCCAGTTTCCCTCGCAAAACCAGATTCAAAGCAGCCACATATTCTAGGAAGTCAATGGTGTTATCCTGGTAATATAAAATAGTCACTTTAATTGAGATCAACTTAAGATTTCAACAGCGGTACATTTACTGTTTTGTGCTCTGTCACACAATACACCACTTATAGTCATGAGCTGCCAATGGCTCCTGTGCCTCTTTTTCACGGTCTCTGAAGACTGGAGAAGATTTTCCAAAATCAATAGTAAACAGCTGAATTGTGGTGGTACAATTTTTTATTTGTGCAGGGGTGACGGGGAAAGAAGAAAAAAAAAACAACTTCAAATAAAATAGTTAAACTTTCAATGAGCTGAAAACAGCAAGTTTACATGAAAAAGAGAGAAGGAAGGTCTGAAAAGGAACATCCTGTCCCCATAAGAATCACATTGCATTTAATTATTTTGACATCAGTGAATTACACTGGACAGGCAATGGTCAATTCAAATCAGATGATTTTATGATTTATTTTTCTGGAAAAGATATCATCAGATAAAAAGAGCCACAGTGGCGCAGTGGTTAGAGTGCAGTACTGCAGGCTACTTCTGCTGATCACCGGCTGCCAGCAGTTTGGCAGATAGAATCTCACCAGGCTCAAGGTTGACTCAGCCTTCCATTCTTCCAAGGTGGGTAAAATGAGAACCCAGATTGTTGGGGAGAAGATGTTGACTTTGTAAACCGCTTAGAGAGGGCTGTAAAGCACTATGAAGCGGTATATAAATCTAAGTGCTATTGCTATTTGCATTCTGTGTAAGTAAACAAGTGTTGAGAAGCACAGAGCACACAGCAATCGCATAATATCTATCCACATTCAAGGCAAGCCACTCAATATCACCATTTACAAATCTACACCCCAATTGTAAACTCAGATGATGAGCTTTTTTACAGTGAGCTTCAATGTGCTCTCAAGCAAATACCCAAAAAGGATCTTTTGTATATTATGGACAATTTCAATGCAAAGGTAAGCCAAGGAGAAGTTGCAAGAATAGTAGGCAAGTTTGAGCGAGGTGAACAAAATGACCACAATTTTGTCCGGAAAATCATCTCAGTATAATGAACATGTGGTTTATACAACCCAAGCAACAATTATAACACACCGACAGCACCAAATGGACAACATCGAAATCAAATTTATTTTAGGCCAACAACCCTGGAAAGGTTCAATTGCATCTGTTAAGATACTTCCTGGTTCATCAGCTATTAGGGCTAAACTGAAGCTCAAATTGTACAAACTGAAAAAAGGTAATATATCCCCCAAATTCAACGTGAACAATATTTCACCTATGTATGCCTTAGAAGTTAAGAATAGGTTTGAGCCATCGAATTTGGAAGGGGAAAAACCCCAAATGAACAGTGGTGAGAGATCCAAGGTAACATCATGGAAATTGCTGGAAAGGATGTGTCACGCCAAAACCCAAAGAGAACAAACAAGTGGCTGTGTGATGACACAATTGAACTAGATGACCTGGAAGATTGAGAATCTCCATAGACATCTGGTGCATGCTTAGCTAGAGAACCACAGACCTGGTCCACCTATATATTACACTAATATTAAAATACAATATATAATGCAATATATATACAATGCAATATGTGAAGGGCAGCCAAAGCTAAAGTAATAAAGGATGAAGTTAAAAAGCTGAATGCAGTTTTCCAATTTGATGCCAGGAAAGACAAAAATAGGCAGTGAGGAAAAACAGTGTCAACATCTGGAAGAAGCTAAAAGGAACGGACATATTAAGGTCATGTTTGCCATAGTGAAAATGATATGATCCAGCTTTTAGCAGGGTATGGAACTATTAAAAACTGCAACGGAAATATTCTAAATGACCAGTAGAAGATCAAGAATAGATGAAAAAAATATATGAAAGGACTCCAAAGCAGTTTGACCTACCATCAAAATGATAACAATGACATCTTGAGGGGCAAGATGGAATTTGAACCTGCTGTTGGCAGATATGGGTTATTATTACCCTTTCTCAATGCAACATGTTTCCAGTAGAAAAGCTTTTCTATTTAAAGCTCTTCTTTTCCAAGACAAAGCATTTATAAGTCTGATTAGAACAAGTCAAGGGAAAATAGTTAACATATCCCATTGCAGAAATTCAGATAATGTTTATGTACAACTCTCATTTATTTATATTCTTCCAGTATTTTTCCACTACTTTTTCACTCTTTCCCCCCAGACAAAATCTGTGAATGTTACAACAGTTATACAAGACCATCATGTTACAAAATAGGCATCTTCAATTAGTTTTAAACTAAATATTTTGCATTAAAATTATATTGTCAAAAAAAGTTATCCCATACAAATGAGAAAATCATCTTGGTTCTCAGAAACTTTATCTCCTAACTATATACCTCTTGAAATACTTCATTAACTTTTTTATTAATTATAAACTAAATTACAAAACCATGCATGTTTCCAAAGAAAAGTAAAAAATAAGTCTGAATATGATGACTGGAATCTAAATGTCTTTAATTTTCATCATATAGAAGCATTCCTAGTCCATGTCATGTATGTGTGGGTGTCTTAGGACTGTACGATCCTATGCATATTTTGTTACTTTTTTGGCTGCTACATGGAGACATGAACCTATGTGGCTAAAAAATGTTTATTTGTAATGCACTGCAACTAAATAGGTTGATTTTTAAAATGTTTTTGCGTGTGCTTAATGCTGTATCCTAATATTGCAACACAAGTTTCTCATAAAAGATTGAACCACATTCAAATGCCATTCCCTAACACTACGTTTTATTTTTTTTTCTGACTAGAATGGGTGCATGAATAATATAAAGTATTGTGACATAATCATAATCTTATAAAATGAATGAACGGGTGTTCATTACAATGCCTTTAGCATTTGCATTGTATTTAAATAAGGTGTTTAGTGAGAAAATTCCAGTTTCTTGTGACTAAACTTTGCTTTTCTTGGAGCAAAACAGGTTATTTGATCCAAAGCCACTAAGACAGCAATGTTTTGACCAGAGTTAAATGCCTTTTTATATATCAGGCATAACAAGTATTCCATGCATTTGATATTGTCACTGAATTAAAAAATAAAACAATTTTTCCACTTCATAGAAATGTCAGTAGGAAACCTATATTTGCTTCTTTACCAAAATTAATCATAACAATGACATTAATCTCTCCACTTCTAACACCCCTACTTTTTTTTCCCTCCTGGAAATATCATCATATGCTACAGTACAATTCATAAGATTTTCCCCAATTTTTGGAAATAATGAAAAATATGGGACACAAGTATTGGGAGAATTTTGACCAAACAACTATTTATTTTAAAAGTAATATCTTAAGGTCTTGAATAATTCTATTCAGATGATGATGATAAAGTCTAGCAATATTCTATCAAAGAATAATAAGAATCTGACAATTAAATACAACTTTTAACGGATTAGTTCTCTTTCTGTATAGCATTCTGAGTTCCTGGCATATTTATCATATTTCTTATCTGAAACATAACACCATTTTCTGCAAGCTTATTCAGAAATTTATTTTGTTGAGCTCTCTGGGACTTGCTTCTAGGTAAATTCTACCTAAGTGTAGCATTAACAAATAACATCTAGCCAAAAGGGAAAGTCCACATTTAGAAACCAGGAGAATGTGAGCTTTCAACTTTTAATATCAGTTGTAACATGCTTACCCCATTCTTATCGAAAGCTCTGAACATGCTTTCCACATAATCCGATGCTTCTTCATTATTCTGAACCCCAAAGAATCGTTTGAATTCATGCTTGAAGAGTGTCCCACTTGGACATTCCATTACAAACTTCTTATACCATTCCTGCAATTCAGCCACATCAATCTCAACTGGTTCTCCGTCCTCATTTGTCAAGTGCTGTCCCATGTTGCTTGAAAAATGGAGAAGAAATGCTTGCTATTTCTTTCTTCTCAGTTTTCTTCTTGCAAACGTTTATTTCTTCTTAGAAATTTAATTTCTTTTACCTTTTATTTAATGACTATTGCACATGAAAGTTGGACTTCCTCTCCTCATGTTCCTTTTTACTTGCAGCCTCTATTCAATCTTGTTGAGGAATTTTCACACTGTTTCACCTTCATGCACCTTTCCTGAACTACAAGATAAAAATATCTAAGATCATTTAAAAGATTCCCACATACGCAGCACAGAGTCCTCCCAATATCTCAGCACAATCCTTTAGTTGGAACTCCCAGGTTGGGCTCTGATGCTAATCTACTAATATGAAAGCTACCCGATTAGCAGTTATTTATATCCTCATTGAACCATCTATGAACTTATCACTCCCCTGAAGAGAGCAACCAATCTATAAAATAACAACCTTGTTTCTTATTTCAAATTATGTGAGTTATTCAGAAATGGAGATGAGATTAGATATAAATAATTTTGTTGATTTTCTTTATATTCCATAATCTCTGACATAAAGATTGGCTTGCTAAAGCAAAGTATGTCTTACTTGTGTTGGGCTTAACATATTGTGTAAACCTAGCCATTGTAGCCATGATTTAACTAATGACTGTCTTATTCATTTACTGTTTTCACTGGATTGTTGTACGCCGCCCATAGTCATTTTCTATGAGGTTTCATGGATCTCAATAATTATACTTCATAATTCAGCCTAACTATAACATCAAAATATGAATGTTTAATAGCTGCTATCATTTTTTCAAGCTTTTGAAGGAAATAAATTTACTTGCATTCTTCCCAAAATGGCAGTTTGCCTATTATACTAAAATCCTTAGCCTTTGTTTCACAAATATAAGTTTTTCTTAAGTTATCATATTTCACTATTAAATTAGTAGCTTATCCCAATTCACTTGTCATTCAGTCATTCCCTCGCTACACCAGACCAAACTTTTGTCCTCATGTTAAAAAGAAATAAATAACCTGTCACTTTAAATAGGCCTGAGCCGTCCTGATAAAGAGATACATCCCATTCTAAGAAGATTACTAAAGTGACTAGAGGAAACAATAATCTCTGTTATAATAATAGCAGGACTGAAATGGATTAAAGGGATTGGAATGTACATCAGGTCTATTTCAAGCAAAATGGAACCCCACATAATATTATAATGAACTGAAGAGCCTGTTCAAATATTAGATGGTTAACATAAATCAATATTTCATCTATTTCCATAATTTCTATGGATTCAAGATTTATGGCATAATAACAATTAAATAGGTGAACATGTTAATATATATTTTAAAATTCATATATATTTAAATGATTTCGGTCCTCCCCTTTGAATGCTTGTTTGGATTGATTTGATCCAGCTTTTCCCCTCTATCAATCAAAATGATTTTGGCTGCCCCCTAGCATTATACTATCAGAATTAATTTTTTCTTTTACTTAAATCTAAAAATCACAGTGGGTTAAGTTTGTTAGAACCAATAAAAGTGGTTCATAAGTGTAAAATTTTCAAATTCTCCTCAGCTATTCCTCAGGTTCTGTTTTGCCAAAAGATATTAAGAAACTCCCCAAATTAGGCCAGATGTTTTACACTATAAGATTTCTTATTCTTGAGGTGCAGTGATTCAGTGGCTTAATGATGCTAGAGAAGGTCTGAACACCAGCGGTTCAAGTCTGAACACTGTATTATGAGCAAGCTCCCATCACTTGCCTCAGCTTCTGCCAACTTCACAGTTTGAAAGCTTGTTACATGCAAATAGATAAATAGGTACCACTTACATAGGGGAAAAACAGTGCTTCAAGCAGCAGTATGAATTCAACCAACGCTGGACCTACCTGAATGCAATGTCCAAATTCAAGGTGACATTGGTGGTGGGAAAAGCCCCAGATGACACCGCAGAATGCCGTCAAGTTTTCTGAATGTGGAGCTAATTCTCCCCTTGGGGTGAACTCTGCATAGTGCACAAACATGAACTAAACGGATTAGCAATCAGCAGCAGCCAAATGATTATTTTGTATTAACACTATATTCTTCTGGCCAATGTAGCATCCTCATATGCCAAATAAATAAATCTTATTGTATTACAGTCTCAATATAGAATGTAGACTGAGTACAGTATTAGTGGTACAAAGGAACAAAGATAATTATTGTTTTCTTCTTATTGGTTTCCAGAGGATAACCATTATAGGAGGAGACTTGTATTAAATCATCAGTAGATAAACATCAAAAGGAGTCTGGCAGTACTTTTTCAGACTAACAAATGTTATGAAAAAGTATACATTTTTGTGAGTTACAGTTCACCATGAGTTTCTAATACAATGGCTACACTAGAGTAGGTAAACTGGAATAAAGTGGGGAAAAGGAGGGGTTATGCAGATACAATGCAGACTATTTGTGAGTCAGATTAGAATAACTTTATCAGTTACCACTATCATACGCTAAAAATACATTGTTTGATAGTTCTATTAGCCATCTTCCCTTCCCTTCCAAACCACTCAACTCTTGATGTTATCTTGTCAGATCTCAAACATTTTTCTGGCTAATAAGAATATATGGATACATAGCAATTAATCAAGAACCATACAAACTAACTTGTTGATCCAAATGTGACCATAAGAGAAGATAAGAAGTCAAACCACAAGTTACTGTACCAGCTGACTACCCTGTTTTCTGAAATGATTAGTCACCACAGAAGGCAAATTATATTGCCGTAGAAAACCAACTAAAGCAGAAAAATAAGTCTGCATTCACTGCTGTGACTGATACTCTATTAGGAGGATTATAACAAAAACTCATTAGCGCTTAAGGCCATTTAAACTCTTTTAATCTGCCCATATTTGTTCATGCTTAGTAATACTTATGTGATTTTATATTATGAATCCCTAGCATGGGATATTGAGAAGTGACAGAAACAGAGGACAAGGCATTTCTTGCTGTGTGCTTCAGTCATTCAATGGCTTCTGGCTCTCCTTAAACTGATGGACATCATTCACCAGAAGTATTTATCAGTAACCATTTCTCTCTTGCAAGTTCATGCCTGTGTCATCAGTGATAGCATCTAGCCACTTGTTTTCTGCTGGCTTCTTTTTCAATTGCTTTAAAGTTTTCCAAATTTCAAGAGTCTTTGCCCCTCCAGAGTCTGATTAAATGATTAAGTTTTACGTCATTATTAGTTTCCAGGGGAACAGTCTAGTTTTACTTGATCTGGTATTGAATTATTTGTTCTTGCAGTGCAAGATATCCTCAAATATGCTTCTTTCAAAATCAACTATGTGAAACAAGATTCCACATGCTCAGCATGTAGTGTTGCATCACTACTATGTAAATTTGGATGTTAATGATTAGTTCTCAGGAAGACAAAATAACTTTTCTCTATTTACTCTGAAATAACATCATCATGATCCTAATTACAATTAAGCATTGTTTACATGGGTAACAGGAGATATCTATTATTTTACTTTTATGGTATTTTGGAATCATAATAACCAAATGTATTTCTATCATTTCAGAGATGCCTGCTTGAATGTGAGTATTCTTAAAAGCAACAATATAACAGAACAACAGTGTCTGTGCCAATGCTATTGTGGGTATAAAATCACAAGTGACATAGAACTCAGGAATCATCTAATTTAATTTCCTACCAATACAAGTAAACTACTTATTACTAATAGGTGGACATCAGCTTCCGTTTAAAACATGAACAAAAGAAATTTCACTAACTTTAGAGGAAATCTTGATTGTAAGCCACCTAGAGTTGCTTCCAGGCAGGATGTATAGTAAGTAAGTAAGTAAGTAAGTAAGTAAGTAGGTAAGTAAGTAAGTAAATAATTTCCACTGATCAACACAGTACACAGTTTTTCCTCAACAAAATCAAAGAAATCACATTATCATTTGCTTTTATTGCATAATTTATTAAACTAACCCATTATAGCATGTTAAGTGTTCATACAGGGTAAGGAAGCAATAGCAAAAATTATCTTGGGAAACAATATCCAGTCATCAGCTGTCCTAGGCAAGACATACATTTAATACATACTATACTAATATGTACTATTAGCAAACATGGCCACAAATATTTTCCCTATTAAGAACTCTGGGAGAATTTAACAACACTGATTATTCATTTTTTTTTAGACTCTTTATAAAACATGTTCTCACATGTTAGCTATGTTAAAGAAAGAAAGAATTTCAGAAAATTCCAGCAACAGGATGGGACCAAATCTTTGTTGGCTATAAGAAAGGTAAAGGAAGAGGGAAAAGGTCTTACTGAGATTTCCCATTTGGTATAATAGCATCCACTACAACTTAAGAATCTAATACAGATGGTGGAATACAAAATTCCATTATGCTACTGTTTAATGATCACTTACGAGTACCTTCAGGTACAAAAGTATAATTAACTTAGTTAATTTTGTGTTAAGATTTGCTCTAGAAAATATATTCAGCACTGGAATACAGTAGTATCTTAATTAAAAAAAAACATAAAAGAGCACAAGGTATAAAGGAATTGGTATTTCTGACTCTAGCTCTCCCTTGCTTGATCTGAGACATGTTATGAATCACTTTTTTCCACATGTCCTCATTACACTGGCCAAAAGAATCCACCAACTGCTTTCTTTAAATTGGCCCATTATAAATAATAAACTCTTCTTTCTAGCAGCCACTAGATATTGGGACACTGCTATCATGTCACCCCTAGTCCTTTTCATTAAACTAGACATACCCATTTCCTGCCACTGTTCTTCATATGTGTTAGCCTCCAGTCCTCTAATCAACTTTGTTGCTGTTCTCTGCATTCTTTCTAGAGTCTCAACATATTTTTTATATTGTGGCAGCCAAAACTGGATGCAGTATACCAAGTGTGGTCTTACCAAGGCATCATAACATTTCAAAATATTGCCACAGAAACTTTCCAAAATTAGAAACTTATTGAAAATACCTGATAGATTACGTTCTATATTGGTGTTTTTAAGATATGTGGACTTCAACTCCCAGAATTCCTCAACAAGCATGCTTACCAGTCTACACATCTTAATGAAAATCACTGTTCTATATGGATAGAAGAAGAGGAACTTTCTCTTCTCTTCTGATTTATAGGCATAAAATTACAGTGTATAATTTGCTCTCTCGAAACCAAGTGTCATTACTGAGTCATCAGATCCTTAGCTTAGGAGACAATGAAAGTGAGGAATCATACTAAATACATTTTGAAAGTTGTATACTTATAATTAAGATGAATGCTTTACCTAAAATGTTGTTCTTATTCCAGATGTTACCAATACAGATGACAGATGTTCCATTTAAGCAATGGCAAAAAGATATGGCAAAGGAAAAAAAATAGGAGTTAAGTAGCAGGATGCTAAAGAGAGAAGGAGTTACCAGACTTAAAATTATATTTTGATGTTTTATGCATGGTTTGGATGAAAGAATAGGATAGTTTGGAGAATAAGAAGTTAACAGATTTGGAGGGCAATGATTTGAGTGGCATGCATATTTTTGATATGATAAAGCTAAAGAGAACTCAGTTTTTAAGAATCTTTTTTTTTAGCCATGCCATTCTAAGTTTGGATTAAATATAAAACAGGGCTTTCTTAAGTTTCTTGAAGTTGAAAGAAGAATTGAAGTTGGAAGGGCATATGTTTTGTTGGTTCACATTTTTACAATTAAAAGGTTTAACTTAGATAAAAAAAGACATGGTTTTGAGTATAATCAAATGAATTTGAAATTGCATTGTGTGCTAACGAAAAACATATTTTTGCTAAGATTTGTTGTTAAAACTGAATTTGGAAAATGAACATGTTAAAGACCAATGGGCAATGAATTTTAGTTATAATGATCAACCAATGGGAAAGCATGTGGAATAATGGACTAATTTACATTGAATTATAGTTTGAAAGAAAACTTTTATAAGCTGCTGTATTGTTGGTATTTAATGCTTATGAAATTATCAAAAATGTGTGCATTTCTTTTTCTTCTTTTTCTATGTTTTGTTTCTTATAAATAAGAAAACATAATAATTTTTTATTTAAAAAATGGACTTAGTGTGGTTAGCCAGAAGTCATCCAATAGGAGAGTCTAGGGAAAAATTTTAGTAGGTAGGTGAGTCAATCACAAAGCTACTGTGTGGAAAGTGTATGGCCTACCAAGAGACCCCTGTGGCAAGATCTCCTAAGATATCCAGTGGCAATTGCCTATTGAAGTAGCCACAGTGGTGGGTGACGCACTGAAGAGGATCAGTGGCTAAACAGGCTGGTACTGGATGGATTGGCTTTTCTAGGGAAGAACTCAAAATGAGCCCTGTATGTCCAGCCAGACTCAGAAGATATTTCACCAGTTCACAGTTAAATTTGAGGGATTTTTAGAGAGACTATAGTAAAGAAGTGTAAAAGGAAAAGACCGGGCAGCTTCAAACTACTGAGAAGAGAGCTGCGAAAGAGAATTTCTATAACTATATTGCTAGTAAACTGACTGATTGCCTTATCTATCTGTGCTCTTTATCACCCTAAGTCAAATCTATGAACATATAGAAATGACCAAAATGATATAAAATGCTATAAAGAAAAAGAAAACGGAAGGAAAATTTAAAAGTAAGAGAGGTACAGTACTGCCAGGAGTCAGACAAAAACAATATGTATTGTAGCTCTTCCTCTTTTGACTCTTCCCACATATATCAAAGGGGCAAAGTTTGAGTAAGATGGCACAACACTGCTTTTGTCATTTTGCTTTGATTTCTGTAAATCCCTCTAAAAACTACACATCCAATGGAAAAGCTGATTTGGGGAAGAACAGAATCATTAGATTTATTTTGCTAAGACTTGAACTTTTCATAATTGCTTTACTGCATACAGGTTTTGAATAACACCCAACTCACTTTCCCAGTTTGAGATGATGAGAGAGTTGAAGCCGAAAATGACAGAAGCAAAGAGCCTGTAATTAGATAAGATCATTGTAATAGGGCATGAGTTCCTTCACATTCACAGGGAACAAAGTCCTGGCAAAGAGTATATTACCACTCATATGACGGAATGAGAAAAAGATATTTAAACTATGGGCTCTTATACATAGAAACCACCATTGTATAGTAGCTGGCTGTCTTTATTCCTGGGGTGTTTTGTATCTGGAATAAAAGAAACTTATCTAACTGAGCCTTGACCTTGATTCTTTGTGTCGTTGGCTTTAGAACTAGGGGTTTGAGTTTCCAGAAATAGATTTATTGCTAAATCCTAGGTAAACTCCTAAGGGATTGAGATTTAATTTTCATAAATCCTGAAAAGGTCTATCCCAACAGATTTTGAAGTGCCATCAAGAAAGATAATTCTCCTAATAAAAGGGAACCAGCCACAGATCAATTTACTGCAAATATTCATCAACAATATGTCATAAAGGATATGCAGGGAGGAAGCCAAGCTGATATATGACATTATTACCATCAATTATTTAGAATGGTGAAACCTAGACAAGATAATGAACTATTAAATAATTTTTTAACAGTCTAGACAGTTTAAAATATCAGATGTCATTTTCAAAAAGATATCAACGGACTAAAAGGCATAGAAAAAGACAAAAGGTAGACAAAAGTTAAGCATTTTTCCTAAAAAGTTTGTTTATTCAGAAAAAGACATATAGAAATTATTACAAATATTTTTTGTTACCTGTATTACAAAATGTTTTCACTATATAAAAATTCTTCACCAATGTTATAAGACACGCTTTAGAGAAAACTCTACCTTTCTATAGCATTTTGGTTTTCATCCTTGATTTCAAGATGATCGTTTTTTTACAAAACTATTTAAAGTCTTTTGGTGAGGATGGAAACATATTTGTATTTGTTCTTTTATTCTTTATTTGCAAATGTCATGTTATTTTAATTTGCATATTTGAGTTAAATATGTGATCAATTGGTCTAATAACAATATAATCCAATAATAAAATAATAGACTGATACTAGAATTCAAACTGGTGTATTAAAATCAAGTTTAGATACATTTTTAGAATTTGCTGTCAAAAAGATACAGGGATAGGAACTACCTAAAGAAGCGACAAGGATATATACATTAAATTTCCAGGAACTGCATATAAGGTCTTTAAAAGTGACTTTCAAAAGAGCTGTAAAAAGGAGATACAGCATTTATTGATGTTTATTAAACATTTTTATACATGTTTTAAAAAAACACGGTGGCCTAGAGTTAAAGTCTTGTGAGTGAAACTTCTATATTCAGGAACAGTGTATCCTGCCTAGTTATATTAACTGTCACCTGGAAGTATTAACTACCTGACCTTAGGTTGTACTGCCATATGAACATTGTGGGGAAACTATTATAGGACCATTCTGTAAGCATCTGCTTCCCATAATCATATTAGTGTTACTTTCCAGGAAACTGAAATGGATTAAAACAATGCCAAGTAAAAGTAGTAGCACCAGTTGACTCAAATCGAGTGTGGAACCTCCAAGGCAAAATCGTATGAAACATCCTGGCATTAGGGTGGGGGTGAGGGGTAACATACAGGTTCGACCAGTTACGCTAGCTTGTTCCCATGGAAAATGCCTGGAGAAGTTTTTTTTTTTTTTTTTTAAAGGAACAGTAGTTTCAAACAATCTGAGAAGCCTTCCCAATTTGGGGCTTGTGAGATATCTTCTAATTCAGGGTGTCCTCTTCATAGGACGGAATTTGGTTCAAATCTACTCAGTAATAAATCCGCAAGAGAGAAGGCAAAGGAAGGGAGCGATGATTTCTTGAGCTAATGGAGAGACAAGACAAAAACCCTAAGGGCGCCCAAAGGAACCCTTTATTATATGAATGTTATTCCTAACAGTCAAGCCACTCTGCTACCGAACCGAGCGCTTCCGTTTCATTTAATTCTCCCCCGCACTTTGCCATTTACTCCCTTTTCCACACCCCTTGGAAGCTCGGCCCTCCTTCTCTTCCCTACGCGACCTGAAGGGGCGGATCCGGTAGCCGCAGTACCTGGGCCAGGTGAGCGAGCTGCATTACACAGCTAGGGTGGGACTCTAGTCGAAGAGCGGTAAGTTTTGCGGGAGCGGGTGGAACCCCGTCGGGGAAGCCCTCGAAGCCCGAGTGGCTCTTTGCAATCCAAGTAACACTTCCGCTCCTGAACTGCCGGAGCTTCGGGCTTGTAGGCGCCTTTTCTCCCCGCGTGTTTTTCACTCGCGCCCCTTTCTCGCCCACGTGTGCTCGCCTTACGCTTCTTCTCCCCCTCGCCGGACGGTTGCTTTTCCCAACTTTTCACTTCCCAGCTAAGCGCCTCGCTCGTTTTCTCTCTGTGTCATTTTGCGCTTGAGTAGTTCCTCTCTGTCCTCGTCCCCCCCTTTTCTGAAGGAGGCTGGCGTCGCGTCTCCCTTAGGATCCTGCTACAAAAGGCTTCCTAAGTTGCCCCTCTGCCTTTTGGGTTCGTGGGAAAACCCGAGAAGAGCCTTTTTCCTAAAAGAGGCCTCTCTGCTCGAGGGCAATTTCAGCGAGTTCGTGCCCGGAGTTCACTGCGGGCTTGTTCTGACACTTGTCGATTATTTACTTCTGCATATAAACAGCCTCCAATCTTTCAAAGTAGCGGAGAGCAGGTACAGCTGTGGCCCGGCATTGATCTTAAGCCGTTTCCTTAGAAGTTCAAATTCGGTTGAGAGGGCAAGGCTGTAGAGAAGACCTTCCTTAGTCTTCAAATTCAGGATAATTGCATTGCACCAGAAGCTGTTTCCTTACCCGCAGTCAGATGTTACCCAGATTTACAGCTGGGCACTGTTTACCTGGGGTATTTGCTACACTGATTGGATTTGCACAACTACCCCTTCTCCAGCATCCCTCATAGATTGAACTGGAGAACATCAAAACCTTCCTTAATCCACATTTGGTAATTTAGCAGTGAATGAAACACCTTAGTTATTTGATCATAGTGAAATGAAGTATTTAGGGTCGATTTATTCAGCCTAATACCTTCCTGAGAAGGAATACATGTGGTACTGTGACACATTGTAGGCCATCTACTTGGGAAGGCTGATCCATGATATTCGTTAAAATTGAGGTGTAGAAGAATCCCAATCTCAACCAAGTTGATGTACAATTATATTTAAGCAAACCTTAGTATGAAATGAAGGTTGAGTAAATGCATGATGATGACAATGCCATAAGTACACAAACCAGTTTTAAAAATGAGATCAGATCTTTGAAACATTTCCTACAAAGCAATACAAAAGCTGTAACCTTTTATATTTTGAGCATCTTTCTAGAACAGCATCACTGCGCTTGGAAGTGTTTTACTAGTTTGGATATCTGAAATTAAAATCTGAAATCAACATTTATGTAGAACTTTAAAAAAATACAGTATTATACACCATGTATGTTTGTATGTAAGTAATGCATAGAGGTGTGGATTACTATTGCTGATGAGTTTATAGATAACATACATCAACAAAGGCTTGTGGGTTTGTTGTTTATGCTGTCCTTGTGAACAAGGTTATGATTGTCCTCTCTCATAGATCTCACAGTTGTATCCTTGCCGAATTTTATATCTGTTGCTTCAAGCATTGGGCCTTGATCAAGGAGAAGAGCAATAGTAAACCTATTGATACCTTGTTGTTCCACTATTTGTAAATGTCAGTGTTTTCATAATGCAGTGTAAAAATAGTACTAGAATAAGATTTTGAGCCTGAGCATCAAGAATCGGAAATCTTAGTGTATGACATTATAATTTGGCCAATACCATTGTACTGTATGTCTATGACTATTTGAAAGTCTACCTGGATAACTTTCAGTACTTCTGTAAAGCCAGTACTGTAAAGGAAAAACAAGTTCTGTTAGTAAGGTCTATGCTGTAGTTTTTCTGGAGATCAGTCATAGAAATGATATCAGAGCAGTTGTGATGGAAGAGGTGGGAATTCTATCTAAATTTTCCTAATTTGGTTGTGTCTGTACTAGGCTGAAAAGTTGACGCTGGCTTGTTTTGCATATTGTCTGTTGTACTTCCTTTATTCTCTTGAGGAAGTTTTCCTTTTTTTTTTAATTTAAAGGACAAAGCTATGGATTAGTAAAGATAAATGTACAATTAGATATTGCATTTCAATGTAATAGTAGAAATCCTCTTTTAATGTAAAAACAATTTGTATTACAGGTTTTACAAGAAGTGAAATATAGTCTAATATTAATGAAGGGGATTACAGATGTTAACTTGAAAGTTGCATTCAGTATTTATTTCAATTCTGCTTATCAGTATTGCTTTAGGTTTCTCTAATCTTGTCTATATTTTCAAAGATGGGTATTTCAGGGATTTAATTTTTTTAATCTGGTTTCTAATGTTTCATGTGCTGAAATCTGTATACAGAACTTAGAATAATCACTCTGTGTATGGCCATGTTATGTTTATTGATTGAATCTAAACTTTCCCATTTTGCTTTAATAAATAAAGTCAGAAGCCATGAACAGTTGGAAATGCATAGATTTTATTTTCTTCACCCATATTTTCTTGCTCCTCCTAATTTGTTCCTTCCAGTTATTGCAGGGGTGTCAAACTCAAGGCCTGCGGGCTGGATCCGCCCATGGGGTGCTTAGACCTGGCCTGCAGGGCCCCCCTGGAAATAGCAAAGGACCAGCCTGTAGTGCCTCTGCCAGTGAAAATGGAGCTTTGTTTTCACTGGCAGAGGGCTGTAGGAGGATCCCCCCAGCCTCGCCCGGGCCACCACAGGTGCCCCCGACACGAGTGATGCTGAGCTGGCTATGCCCATCCTGGCCATGCCCACCCCCGCCATGCCCTCCTGATCCCCCAAGGTCAAACACAACCCTGATGCGGCCCTCAATGAAATCAAGTTTGACACCCCTGAGTTATTGTCTTCTAGTTACCTTCCCAAGCTTCCTTTTTCCGCAGTAAGCACATTTGGCGCTTACTGCGTATGCACATGTGGCATGCATTTGGCACATACTGTGGATGCGCACACAGTGTGCTTTTTGCATGCATTGCGCATGTGCACACATGCACACAGCGCACATTTGGCATGTACCACATGTACGCAGGCAGAAAACCGATGGCAAACTGGGGAAGATTTCACCACTGGCCTAGACTAAACACAGATAATTCTAAAATCTGATTTTTAAACTGCAGTTGTTGAATAATCCGTAATTATTACAATTAAGTACTCTATTGTGATGTAACTCAGTGTAAAAACAGCAATATAAGATGGCTGAATCACAAGAACAATATGTGAGAAGACGACTCTTTCAAATGCCCGACTTCTTTTAAACACGAACTGCCTCAGAAAGAAAAAAAATGAGAAATAACCCTAGTAAACTAGCTTTTTTTTAAAATACTTTTTGACATGGGGTAGAGTATATCTTGTTATACTCTGGAGTGATAAATATTGTTGCACTACATCATTGTACTGCCTTATGCTTATATGAGGAGGACCTGGAAACAGGACCACATAATTGATATGCCTATAATTTCATAATATGTCATGGCATCTTTTATACATCTTAAATACTTTAAATTGTGGATGGCAGCACTTATTGACTTTTCCTAATCTTTAAAAACCTACGCAGGGTCAGACATGATTTGTATTTGGCAAAGACCAATACAATACAATTCTAGGTTAGATTGGAAAGATTTAAAGAAAAACTTCCCAGAAGAATGCAAACCACATCTTTACTGTTGCCAAGAAACATACATTGATGTGTCCTGGTCCATTAGGTGTTGAATACAATTCAGGGGAGATTTTATTTAAGGCTCTGGAAACTAAAAACTTTTAAAGAAGGTCAATGAAGCAAGCAGGCATGTACAACATTACCATTGTGTGCAGAATTCTATGTCTAAATTATGGTCTGATACACATGCAGGGCCGGATTTTCCTATAGGCTAACCAGGCTTCAGCCTAGGGCCTCAAGATCAAGAGGGCCTACATTCAAATTGTTAGCAAAATTAAAATCACACTTTCACTATAGGTGAAAGGGCCTCATAAGTGGAATAGCCTAGGGCCTCTTTTCATCTAAATCCGGCCCTGTACACATGTATTATTCTGCAGGGTTTTAGCTTTTATAAGCAAAGATTAAAAGTGCAAATCCCTCTCCTTTTCTAGATAGCTGAATCCCATTGCTGACTATTTGGTTTCTGTGATTCTTAACCAAAAATGTTCTCAAATTCCCAAGAAATGTCAAATAAATTCAAAATGTGGGCAAATATACTTTGATTAAAAGAGAAATTCATAGGAGGAAACAAGATTCCTCTTCCTCCCCAAAAAGAACGGCTAATGTAATCCAGAAACATCAAATGCTTTCCATGTAGCTATAAATAGGAGAAAACTCAGGCCCATCTCTCTTTAAGCAATTTTGGCTGGTTTTCACATTCTTGATTTCAAAGGAAAAAGGGGAAAGAGACAAGGCTGTCTTAACACATGGGCCTGATGGGCACTTGCCCGTGGAACCCACAAGCATAGGGGCCCATACTAATCTGTGTATGTTAACCCTTCAATGCACCTTATATCATATAAATACAGCAACATATTTATTACATTTTACTGCATTTTTTATTAATACTAACATGCAGATATATGTTTAATTTTATCAGCCATTTACATTTTTATTCCTGTGAGTAGTTCAGTGGTGGGTTGCCCCCGGTTCGCACTGGTTCTATAGAACCTGCAGTAAAACCAGCGGGAAGCTCCGCCCACTGACCCTGACGTCATAAAAATGCTTCTGCGCATGTGCGCGTGCAGCCCCATTGTGAACCAGTAGTAAAGGTAAGTAGAACGCACCCCTGGAGTTGTTGTCATAGGAGCCCCAGTAAAATGCTTTGCCCAGGGGCCCATAATGCTGTTAAGACGGCCCTGCATTTAATCCATACATTAGATTAGTTGAATGATCCTTTTTCTTTGATTAAGTGGACGGAAGTATTGCTATATTATTATTGGCTTATTGAACAACTGTAGAGTAGCATTCTTCAACTTGACAAACCTCAGGTATATGTTGGATCCAAAATCCTAAGTACGCATGGCTGTAGTGGCCCATAGTAAGAACTGTTGTCCACTAAGGGAAAAGATTAGAAAATATAGTTGCTGAAGCAAATTTATTTGCTATGTTGGTCATTATATCTATATGTATAGTTCTGATAAAAGGTATATACTGCATGTTGCTTAAAACCTGTTTTAAGGTCTAGGCCATTGATAGTAGAAACTAAAAAGGAAGAGGTCACCAACATCTGAGTCATACACCAACATCATACACCCTCCATGTTTGCTATAGATATGATCAGTGATAACACATGGCGGGATAATTATCCTAATTTTTTGAGACTACTAATGTTATGCATTGTTGTAGAGAAATAAATATGCCTTTCCCTCAG